GGCGCAGGATAGAGCAGGGTTTAGGGCTGTTGTGCATAGGGTCGCTATGAGTCGGAAACGACTCGATGGCACATAACAACAACAACAACATAGTACCAGAGGTATTATTGCTGATGTCAGATGGATCCTGGCTGAAAGCAGAAAATGTTGAAAGAATGTCTATCTGTGTTTTATTGACTATTCAAACGCATTTGACTGTATGGCTAACATCGAAAAGAAAGGGAATCCCAGAACACCTAATGAAGCCCATACTTAGAACAAGTTGTTCGAACATAGCAAGGAAACACTGTTGTTGTTGTTATGTGCTGTCGAGTCACTTGCGACTCATAGCGACCCTATGTACAACAGCCCTAAACTCTGCTCTGTCCTGTGCCAATCGCACTGCCTGTGACACACCCATCCCGATTACCCCAGTCACTGAATCGATCCACCTCATTGAGGGGCTTCCCCTCCTGCTCCATCCTTCCACCCTTCCAAGCATGATGTCCCTCTCCAAGGACCTGTCCCTCTTTACTCTACGTGGTTTAAAATTGAGAAAGGTGTGTGTCAAGATTGTATCTTTTCTCCATATTTATTCAATCTGTATGCCGAGAAAATAATTTGAGAAAACGCACTCTATGAAGAAGAATGTGACATCAGGCTATCAGAGGAAGACTCATCAATGACCTGTATTATGTAGACAGCACAACCTTTCTTGCTTAAAGTGAGGAGGACTTGAAGCATTTGCTGCAGAAGATCAAAGTCCCATAGAGCCTTCAATATGGATTACATCTCAACATCAAGAAAATAAAAATCCTCACTTCTGGACCTATAGGCAACATCATGATAGGTGGGGGGGAAAGATTGATGTTGTCAATGATTTTATATTCCTTGGATACACAATCAACATCATTGGTACCAGCAGTCAGGAGATCAAGAGACCTATTGAATTGGAAAAGTCTGCTATCAAGGATCTTCAAATTATTGAGGAGCAATGATTCCAACTTGAAATTAAGGTGTGCCTTGCTCAGGTGCGTCTTTTCAATCACTTGCTAGGCACCTGAGAGCTGGACAATGAATAAGGATGAAGGAAGAATTGATGCCTTTGAACTTGTTGTTGTTGTTGTTTAATGCCGTTGAGTCGTAGACGACTCATAGCGAACCTGTGAACGAACAGCCTGAGCACTGTTCGTACATAGAGTTTCCAGAGGCAAGCCATTTTGGAAGTGGATGCCGCTCCTGCTTCCAGGCTTGATTTAGTTGGGAAACTCCAGCCAACACTGTCCACCATGGGTGCCCATTACCACGATTGGCACATCACTGTCACAGGCTTCAGCATCACAGCAACCACAAGTGACCTCTGTACAGCAACGCACAGACCAGTGCTATAGTCTAAAAACTATAGCTACCATAATAGAACAGTTCGGTATTGATAGAGTTACAGTGAAAAATACAAAGACTAATAGAATAGAATTGAGAACTTAGAAGTAAATCCATCCACAAACAGACAGCTTATCCTTGACGAAATAAGTGGGGAAAATACAGTCTTTAACAAATGGTGCTGGAAAACTTTTATTTATTTGCATAAAACTGAACTATATTCATACTTACTACCATTAGAAAAACTAGACAAAGGGACTAGACATATAGCCTAATAAACATCACTAAAGATAGATTTAGGGCAAATGCAGAAGCCCTATCCTAATAATATAAACTCAGGCGAGGCAAGGCTAGGCTATCGGGACCCTTTAAGAATTCAATCTCTAAAAACGGGCAGTTGAGCAGAACGTGTAGTCGCGTCCCCTTGAGTCAGCTCCACTCAGCTGCTGACCCAAGGAGTCCCCGGAGGGCCCGTCCACTCCACTGCTGACCAGCCCAGTCATCTGTGCTGAGCCCACCTGAAGGCCTCGTTCCCACCTGTGTGGGACCCTGTGATGGGGGGACCAACTGGCCAGAAAAGAAAACCCTCTCATGCTAGCGTTGCAGACCCCAGAGGGTGAGAAAGAGGGGGACCTCGTGCAGCCTTGAGATGTGTGGGCTCAGTCCTAAAGGAACCAGGATTGCCTTCTCCCCAGAAAACAAGGCAGCTACACCTTCCCTCCTTGGTCAGCAATTCCAGGCCTTTCAGCTTGTTACCACAGCCTCTTTATGTTGTAATTAAGTCATGTTCCTCAGGACTATACCAAGGAAGTAACCATTCACCTCTCCCTTTGCAAATTAACAACATCTCTAATTGAGTGTAAAATAAAAATCAATGTCCCAACAAGTCCAAAAAAAAAAGAATTCAATCTCTGTTTGCAGAAAAAGACTTCTAAAGAGCAAGAAGAGTAAAGAGTCTGGGAAGTGATGACATATCTGACAGCAGACCTCTAAAATTTATGGAAAACTCCAACACCTCACACACATAAAAAGATAATCCAAATACAAAATGGGTAGAGGATATAAAAATTCACTTCACCAAAGAAGACATTCAGTTGCCTAACAAATAAGGGGAAAGTTGTCAAGGACATTAACAATCAGGAAGATGGAAACCAGCACAAAAAAGATTACCATCTCACCCCAATAACAGTAGCAAAGTTCAAAATTACTGTAAGTCATAAATGCTATGAGGACATGAAGAGATTAGAATTCTGCTACTATTCTGATAGGAATATAAAACAGCCCAACCACTATAGAATGCAGACTGATGCTTCTTCAAAAAGTTGAAATGGGATTAATATTTAACCCACAGATCCCACTACTATACATATATATATATATATATATATATATATATATATATATATATATATATATATATATATATATATATATATTCAATAGAACTAAGTTGTGACACAAAATTATATATGCACGCCTATTTTTTTTACAATAGAAAAGAGAGAGACAACTCAAGTGCCTATCAATCGATGAATGATTAAAGAAACTATGGTACACTGGAGTAGTATATAACATTAAAGAATGATAAGGAATTCAAGAAGCACTGCATGATATCAATGAATCTGGAGGAAAGTATGCTAAGGGACATATCAGTCATAAAAGGATAAATACAGTATACCACACCATTATAAAAAGCAAAGGAATAGTTTTTACAAGAATACAATAATTTGTGAGTGCTTAAAAGGAATGGGTAGGGAGGGAAATGTGAGTAAAATTTAATAATAATACACAGTTTATAAGTTAGGTGAAGGGAAAGGCAATATAACATAAGAGGGTTATCAAGTATTAGAATTTATTATTATATATTACTTATTTTTAAGCAAGTTATTATAACTACCTACATTAAATAATTTTGAACTTAGAGTACTTAATATCCTGTGGACTGCAAAAGAACAAACATATATCTTGGGGAAAGTACAGGCAGAATGCTCTTCGGAGGCAAGATGATGATGCCTCATCTCACTGACTTTGGGTGTGTTGTTAGGAGAAGCTATGCCTAAGAAAGGGACATCATACTTGGAAAAGTAAAAGAAAGTAAGACCCTCTACTAGATGAATTGATAAAAGTACTGCTGCAAAAGGTTCAAGTATATCAGAGATAATGATGGCACAGGATAGAACAAAGTTCAAATCATTGTTTAGTTGTGCTTTATGGTTTGCTTGTTGTTTAAGTATTTGCAATGAGTAAGTGGTTGAAAGTACAAACTTCTATCATGGAATCTTAGTCCTCATTTTCTGCACCAGGACCATATTTTCCCATGACTAGTCTTTCTTTGTTTCTGATTTTTGCCCCTAATTTTATCCTAGAATGAGAGAAAGCAGTTAGATCAGGAATTATTTACATATTTTTTTACTGACTTTAAAATTTCTAGAGGTGTAATTTCCTGATAATTCAAGCTGATAGAAGTCTTTAGTAATGCTAAAAGCTGGTTGTTGTTTTTCTTTTAAAGTCAGAGGGTATTTCAATTACCAAATAATATTTTGGTTTCTTTATAGAATTAAAAGATGCTGCCTTTATCCTCAGTTTGTGTGAAGGTGACAAGATAGCTGAGAAAAATATGGAAGACTTCCTAAAAAATATTGGAATTAAGTCACCAAAAGAAGATGCAGAGAGAATTCTTCAATCAGATATTGTTTCTGGTAAGCATTTTAAATATTAGTATCCACTTTTATAAGAAGCTCTGATGGCACAGCTGAGTGGTTGGCCAACAGTTGAAACCCACCAATTGGTCCTAAGGAGAAAGATGTGTCAATAGGTTTCTATAGAGACATAAGCCTTGTAAAGCCTATTGGGGCTGTTCTTCTCTGTCTAATAGAATGCCACTTGAAGTTGGCATTGACTCAGTGGTAAACAACAGTGTCTGATAAGGAGACTTTCTTTACAAATTTGCAGTTATAAAATTGCTTTTCATAAACAATTCTAAATTTTGTGGCAAGTGGGCATGCTGGAAAGCATGGAACAAAATCCTTTGTTCTCAGAAGTGTTTGATTTAGTTACTGAGAATATTTAGATTCTGTGAGTATCAATCCTACCGTTGGCAGCATTGACCATCATTGCATCTTGTGAGTTACTTAGTTCTCTAAGAGGAAGAATGAGAGTTATGTATTGATAACTTTGTGAGGTTATTGCAGGATGGAAAGGAATCCAAAACGCATTGTGAATACAGTGTTCAAGAAATAGACAAGTTAAATGCTAATTTTGATACCTTGTCTTTTAACATTACTTTATCCAGAAATTATTGGTTTTCACTTCTTTGTCTTTGTGTTCTAGAAGATAAGATGGTGAATGTTAAAGACTGTATGAAAGCTTTGATGAACACCAACAAATTTTCTAATTTTGTAGGTAAGAACTCTGTGGTAAAACTAATAAAAGGCAATAATACATGAATTATTAAAAGGTTATTTAGGCAAATATTGTATTTATAACTTAAATCTTTGTAATGTCTCTGCCAAATATTTGTTTCATCTATGCCAAGAAACATACTAAATTTAAAATTGGTCTATTTACTATTTACATTAAAATAAATACATTTATTTTAATATATTTATTTTAAATGTACTTAATATGTTTATTTTAAATTTATTTATTGTGGCAAAAGCCACAAGGTTGTGAACTTCCCCAATAGTTAAATAGTTAAATAGTTAAATAGTTAAATGAAGGTACATTTCATTATTTAGCTCATCCCAAAAATCAATACATTGACTCTCTATAAAACTGTGTTTCATAGTGATCAGACTATTAAGCCTGCTACACCAATGTTTTTTTTAGAATTTTGCTTTATTAACTTGCATACTACTTTGTAAACAATTCATTACATCTAGGAGGTAATTTACTATAGCAAGACTCAATTAACTTTTTGACCAGAAGCATGATTTGCTTATGGTCTTTCTATAATTTTCCAGAGTTCCCAAACTCCTCAGTCTCTTCCTTTCCTCATTCCCACCCAGCTTAAACTTCTCCCAGTTTAGTTAGGGGAACATATTCAGTCTCTGACTTTTAAGTGTACTTTCATTTCTAGGTAGGAGTTAGTAATCTGCATTGTTCATTTTGTGGCATCATTCTCTATTTTTTGTCTTATCTTTATTAAGGAGGAAAGGCAAATATCAATAACCTAAAAAATATTCTGCGAAACACTGGATTCAAACTTGAACCAAAAGAACTTGAGGACCTGAAAACCCATCTACCAGTTGCTGGTGAGCATTTCAGATACCTTTATCCAGTAAATAATGACTAAAGAAAGTATTGCTTTCAGGTCAGAAATGACACATTGCTGACTCTCTGTTCATTTCTGTGGCTTTAAATCACCATGGAGGAGACCACCCAACTTTCTCCCTGAGAGCCACTGTGGATTGAAACAAAACTTTAGGCTAGCAGCACAACTCCCTATGGGCTAGGGCAGCAGAGTCCAAAACAATGACTTCTTAAAAAATAAAGCCCCAGGAATAGATGGTATACCAATTGAAGTATTTCAGATAACAGATGTTGCCCTGGATGTGCTCACCAAGTTGTGCCAAGAAATCTGGAGAACAACCACTTGGCCAACTGACTGGAAGAGATCTATATTTGTTCCCATTCCAAAGAAAGGTGACCCAACTGAGTGTGGAAACTACAGAACAGTGTCATTGATTTCGCGTGCAAGCAAGATTCTACTGAAGATCATCCAAAAACGATTAGAACAGCACATCAGCAGAGAACTGCCGGAAGTCCAGGCTGGGTTTAGAAGGGGTCGTGGTACTAGGGATATCGTTGCTGATGTTAGATGGATCTTGGCTGAAAGCAGAGAATACCAGAAGAATGTCTATCTGCGTTTCATTGATTATGCCAAGGCATTTGACTGTGTGGATCATAGCAAACTGTGGCTGACTCTGAGAAGAAGGGGAATCCCAGAACATTTAATTGTGCTAATGCGAAACCTGTACTTGGATCAAGAGGCAGTAGTCAGAACAGAGCAGGGTAACACTGCATGGTTCAAAATTGGGAAGGGTGTACGCCAGGGATGCATCCTGTCTCCATACCTTTTCAACATGTATGCAGAGCAGATTATCCGAGAAGCTGGGCTCTATGAGGAGAATTGTGGCATCAGGATTGGTGGAAGATCTATTAACGATCTGCGTTATGCAGATAACACAACCCTGCTTGCTGAAACTGAGGAGGACCTCATGCACTTGCTGCAAAGGGTCAAGGACTGCAGCCTTCAGTATGGACTAAGGCTCAATGTCAAGAAGACAAAGATTCTCACCACTGGACCAATTGGCACCGTCAGGATGGATGACGAAGAGATTGAGAGTGTTCACAGCTTCAGTTTGCTCGGCTCCACAGTCAGCACTCTTGGTACCAGCAGTCAGGAAATCAAAAAGCGTATCGCGATGGGAAAGTCTGCCGTTAGGGACCTCTCAAAGGTACTCAGGAGCAATAGTGTCTCTCTGGAGACTAAGGTGCACCTGATACAGGCCATGGTCTTTGCAATCGCTTGTTATGCATCAGAGAGTTGGACAATGACTAGGGAGGACAGAAGGAGGGTGGATGCTTTTGAGCTGTGTGCTGGAGAAGGGTGCTGAATGTACCATGGACTGCCAGGAAAACAAACAGATTCATCTTGGAGAGGATTAAACCAAGCTACTCCTTGGAGGCAAGGATTCTGGGGCTTCGTCTGACATACTTTGGACATGTTTCCAGGAGGGACGGGTCCTTGGAGAGGGACATCATGCTTGGGAGGGTGGAGGGACAGCGCAGGAGGGGAAGACCCTCTATGAGATGGATTGATTCGGTGACTGGGGTAATCGGGATGAGTGTGTCAGAGGAGGTGCGGTTGGCGCAGGATAGAGCAGGGTTTAGAGCTGTTGTGCATAGGGTCGCTATGAGTCGGAAACGACTCGATGGCACATAACAACAACAACAACATGGGCTGTCAAGTTGGAACATACAGCTGACTGTTGTTGATAGTTTCAATCTTTTCTCCATCTATCATGATGTTGCTCATTGGTCCAATGGCAAAGATCTTTTTGTTCTTGACATTAAGATACAATCTGTATGGAAGGCTTCAAGTCCTCCTCACTTTCAGCAAACAAGGTTGTGCATCTTCATAATGAAGGATATTGACAAGTCTTCCTCTGATCCTGATGCCACATTCTTCTTCATAGATTACACTTTCACGAATAATTTCCTCAGCTTACAGATTGAATAAATATAAAGAAAGGATACAACCCTGACATACTTTTTTTCTGATTTTAAACCATGCAGTGTTTCCTTGTTCTTTTTGGACAACTGACTCTTAGTCTAGGTATAGGTTTTGCATGATATATGAATTTTAAATAGCATATCTGAATTATAGAATCTTATGTAATTTTTTGAGTATCATTGTCTTCGTCTCTGAGTCTGTATTGGACCTTCTCTTACAGAAGATCAGACAGTGAGTTTGAAAGTACTGATGGATAAAGCAAAAGCTTTTACAGGTAAGAATTGATATAAAAATACAATAAAATTGAGATCTTGATGCTTGGTAGAAAATTACCTTTCCAAAGGAATAGTTTAGTCCCCCAGTCACTATTAATATATTCTTCCTTTTCTTTTACCTATTTACTAATAATTTTGTCTTATTAGCAAAATACTGTTTTATTATTAAATTTTTCGAGTCTTAAGGAAAATGTGGACACTCTCAAAAAGAGATGTTTACTTACCCAATATTTTGACCAGTAATGTATACAATTTACTAGTATTTAAACTATGTGAGCATAAATCATCACTATGAACACAGTCCCATAATTCAGGTCCTGAAGTAGTGAGAGGTGTTCCTTGTAGGTCACCTCTGTACTGTCATAAGTCAATAGGCCTCTGTGCTCTGTTGACTCATATTCAGAATGAAAGTTAAAGTTTATCTTAATTATATTAAAGAACCCTTTCAAGCAATGAATTCCACAATAATTCTATGTAACTTTAGTCAATCCATATATTTACATTTTATCTTGCAATTCGGAACAGTCTTATCCTGGATTATATTTTTCACAATTTGGAATAATTCAGTATCTCTTAACATTGTTACCTGAAACAATGCCTCTGTCTTCACAGGAGAAAAGGTTAATGTCAGAGATATTAAAAAAAATTCTGGGAAACATGGGAATTGAAATTACTGATGGAGAACACTCAATGCTGTCAAAAACGTTACCAGTCAGCAGTGAGTATTTCCTGTACCATCGGGGGTTAAGGCAGCATGCTGCTTGGGCTTCTGAGTGAGAATGGTCTACTGCTTTTGAAACTCATTAGAAAAACAATTCGAACATAAGAAGCCCTGTACTTGTCACTTGCACTTTAATTTGAAAATAAGAAATATATGTCCTTACAAATGAGAAGTCTCTTTTTACAATTTTAGTTCAAAATCAAACTCATTGTGGTAGAGTCAGAACTAACTCACAGCTGACCCTCAGCAGGTTTTGAGGCTATAAATTGCATGGGATGAGATGGCCCGTCTTTCTTGGAGCCACAATAGATTTGAATTGCTGAAGAAGTGCTGCCTATATGTTACCAGTGCAGTGGCCTAGAACTACACAGTTGAAGTCTTCTCTAGCCTTCTGAATGTGGTGCAGATCTTCATTTTGCCACTTCACAGCCCCCTTGTCCTCAGAATCCAGTGAGTAAAAGCTAAACATCTGAGAGTAATGGACCTCTGGGACCCTATGCTCACATTCTAATTGATTAAGGCCCCAACCAGTCAGCACTGGAGTGCCACACTCTGTGACTGGCACTCTTCCAGTTCTCTATAAGGAGCCAGTTAGAAGAACTGCAACCTAATAGAACTTGGGCTCTGAAAAGGCAAAATAGAGGTGTAGAAAGCAGCATATGGACGCTGATGGGGACCACTGCAAGCACTTACCAACACTGAGGGAGTCAGCACTTCAGGCAGCCCTGCCACAGGCTAGAGGCCTGTAGGACAGATAGAACCCATGTGCTCTGTGCTACTATGCATTCCCTCCGTTTGTGGAAACTATTTCTTTAAAAAGCAAAATTTCATTTTTTAAATATTATTGTTTAAAAGTCCTGGTGACATGATGATTAAGTGACTCCACCACTCACCCAAAGGTCAGTGGTTTGGACCCTCCAACTGCTCTGCTTCCATAATGATGACACTTTGGAAACCCTTTGGGGCAATTCTTCTCTGCCCTACAGGATTGCTAAGAGTCCAGATTGATTCAGTGTTAGTGAGTACTTTGTTGACATTACTATATGTTACTGTTTGAGTCATTAGCTAATTGTTTCTATACTTCTATTTCTTTTCTTGTTGAGAATACACACCAGAAAATAGACACCAATCCAAACATCTTTATAAGCATTCTTACCCTGCTTTGTTAAATATTTTAAATATCATTACTTTCTAACAGTGACCATTAAAGCTAAACATATACTATTAAGAATAATATTTCAAAGGAGCTCTGGTAGCCTAGTGGCAAGAACCTGCCCTGCAATCCCAGAGGTACGTGATTTGAATCCACAGAGACAACCTCCTCCTGTACCAGTCAGATTTGATTTGATGGTATACACACAAAAAATAATAAAATTTTTTAAAAAGAATAATATTTCCTGATTCTAGGGCATATACAGGGAAAAAAATGAAGAGGCAGAAAGCCAAAATACCATAAAAGAAGAGAATAAAGCAAAGAATGGATGGAGAGGGGAAGAGAAAGAGAGAGTGAGAGTGTGTGTGTGTGTGTGTTTGTGACAGAGAAAGAGAGAGAGAAGGGGCATCAACATGTTCCGAGTAGGGCACAGATTAAGGAACAGTTGTGTTCATTATTTTTAAGAGAAATAGGACAACTTTCTAGATAAATTGTATAAAGTATCTTTATGAACAATGAAAAAAGAAAAATTACTTTTTTAAGAAAAATTACTTTATGAAAATATTGATTTTATACAATTTTCCTTTGACCTGAATTTTATATCTTACAGGAGATGGAAAAGTGTATAAGAAAAGACTGCTAGACAGTGTCAAGGCTCTCAAAGGTAAGGATCATGAAAGCAGGAGCATTTGCTTCTTAAAATCCCTGTTTCTTATCACTAATTATGCCACTCTGCACCCAGTTGTTGATTCTCCACTAATGCCTCATAACCTACAATTCTTCCTCAGGTAAAACCACACGCGAGGAACTTATTGTTAGTTAGATTACAAATTTGAAATTTTGCTTTCTTTTAATGGGGTAGTAGAATAACAAGATTCTAATCTTGGTTATCCTTTTCCCAGGTCTTTAGATTTTGCCTGATTCTCCCTGATAGCTTCAGTGAGAGTCACGGCACAGTGTTGTGGTAGAGTTTTCTCTTCCTGCGCCCCTTGACTATTTAGGTTTGCTCAGATTGCCAACCTGTTTCCATTCCCAGTTAGGGTGGATGCATGTTTGAAGCCAGCCTTTTCTTCCTCTTGGAATTACTTAAATTTCTTATGTCCATCTACTTCTTTTCTAAGGGAAAAAAATATATGTTGATAAGCTGGATAGTCTTATGGAAAACCTAGAAATTGGGCTTGATAAAGAGGAACATGATGACCTACTGAACTGTCTGCCAGTTGATAGTAAGTATTTCAGATGTACCGCAATTCAATATTTGAGTTTCTGTGTGAGGGGTTTGGCAAGTAAATCTCATTTTTAACTTCTCCTGAAAAACTTAACAATGAAATATTTCAAACATACAGGAAAAAGTAAAAGTATTATAGGCACTAGTGTCTGCTCCAAGTTAGGATTCATAAAACTCTGAAGAGAACACTGGTGGCTTAGTGGTAAAAAGTTGTGCTACCAACCCAAAGGTAAGCAGTTCAAATCTGCCAGTCACTCTGCAGAAGGATAGGCAGTGTCCATCAGTGAAATTTACAGCCTCTGAAAACCTGCTGGAGGGTAAGCTATGAGCTGGTTCTGAGTCTACAGCTCACAACAACAACAAAAACTAAAAACAAAAGCAACCTCATACCCATCAAGTCAATTTTGATTCACAGTGACCTTTCAGCTGGTTTCATAAACTGTAAGTCTTTAAGGAAGGAGACTGTCGTTTCTCTCTCGAAGCAGCTGATAGGTTAGAATAATGCTCTTTAAAGTTAACATGTTACCCTCTTATTATTTTTGCTTCTTATATCTTTACCTTTCCTTCCTCTTTTCTTTCTCCCTTTCCTCGAATGTATACCTTTTCTCTAATAAGGTAGAAAGTTTCATTAATTACTAAGGCCAATTGAACTGGGAAAAAGAGTCAAAGAGAAAGGGCTAGGATGATTCATTTGAAAGAAATTTATAAGAGATCAGAATCTCTAGGCCTGAGTCTAAATTTTCCTTATTAGGAAACTGTTGGATTCAAAAGCAGAAGCAGGGATCCTTTCACATTAAAACCTTAACAAACAAAAAAAAAGAAGAAGAAGAAGAAGCCGCAGCAGCAAGACAGTACATCTTTGAGTTGACCCATAACAAACCAGCCCGAAATCAAAGAGTAGTTCTTTTTCCCTCGGTGAAATCAGACCTCTGACTTCACTCAGTGCCTGACAGGTACAGCGCTACCGGCAAGCATCTTCTCATGTTACTCTGACCAATAACTGGCTTTAACAGGAAAAGCACGTCTTGCTGCCCTTGGTGTTTACAGTCTCGTTCTTCCTGGATTTAGCAACATTGGTAATTATTCATAATATTACCAGGCCCCAGCTGCTTTTGGGAGAAAGTTAGGCAATCTCCTCCTGTGCCATAGACTGTCTCTGAAAACCCACTGTCAGGTCAGCTATGAGTCAGTTCTAGCTTGACGACAATGAGGGTCTGAGAAGTTCTTATCATTTACAAAAAAAATCTATTTTGGAGGATTAGATGATGAACATAAGGAGCTTGCTAATACTATTTGATCAACTTTGGGGCAAATTGAATACTCATCTATAAAAAGATTAAGAATTTTTTTAAAAAATCAACGTGATAATCACTTTCATTGTGATATTGACCTTACATATTAATTAAGGGACATCAAAACACTACCTACCAGAAACAGTGTCATTACCAGTGAGGTGTTTTTCAGATGATTCATAAAAAAGTTTATAAAGAAAATTCATAAAAAAATATGACAGAATGTATTTTTCTTATCCAACTGTGAAACTACTCCCATATCACTGGAATTTGTTAATTCATTTAATCCACACAAACTATTTGCAAAACACGGTACTTGGGAATGGGTGATTTGTTTGAGGCAATGAGGTTTAGGAGAATTGCCTTTTGTGCCTTAGATGCAGGTTCAATTCCTAGCCAGGACTCTTCCAGAGCAGTCACCAGTGACCTGTCAGATGTGGGCTTGCGTGTTGCTAGCATGTAAGCAGGTTTCAAGTGGTGCTACCAGATGAAGACAGACTAGGAAGAAAGACCTAGTTCTTTTTTTTATTATTTTTAATTTCAATGAATATTTACAGAAATTTTGGATTTCCATTCATTCATTGTTGCACTTTTCTCCCACCCCCATCCTCCCAACCCCCTAGTCCACTCTACTCTTTGAAAAGTAAAAGAAAAATTCCTTCATTGGTATACAATCCCCCGCAGCTCCCCACCCCCACCCCGAGTACGCTCCACTCTGCAACCTTCATTCCGGACTCTTATGATAATCATAATGCCCTATATTACTTTTAAACTGTTCTCTCCCTCATCTGTTTCAATGCAGTATATATAATTCATCCAGTTTTTCTCATTCTTACCCCAACCCTGATGTCAGTCCCATTCTGCAGCAGTGGCACTATGCAGTATTTGTCCTTTTGTGACTGAGATATTTCACTCAGCATAATGTCCTCCGGGGTCACCCATTTTGAATAATATTGCATGAGTTCCTTGTTTTTTAATGCAGCATAGTATTCCATTGTGTGAATATACCACAGCTTCTCTAGCCATTCGTTTGTTGATGGGCACTTGGGTTGTTTCCAACTCCTTGCTATTGTGAATAAAGCCATGATAAACATGGGTGTGCATATATCTGTCTGGGTGGCAGTTATGGTCTCTTTAGGGTATATTCCCAGTAGTGGAATTGCTGGATCAGTGCCACACCACTTTCCACAACTTAGTTCTTATAAAGTCAGCCAGTGAAAGCCCCATGGCTCACAGTAGGACCGTCCCATTGTACACGGGGCCACCATGAGTCAGGGCCAGCTCAGTGGCAGCTAACAAGGCTACAGAAAGTTAAGGCGTTATGCTTGCTCTCAGACAAGCTCCAGCTGGAGCAACACACAAAATTTAGAGAGTGGGAAGAGGGTGTGCTATTACGGTTTAAGGATCTGCTGCCATGAAAATAGATGGCTTGTAGGGTGAAATGAAAACTTGTCTGTGGAAATATGCTTCCCTCCAGAAAAGAGGTCCATTTAGAAGGAACAACTGTTGTTTCCTTTCCCTGTGTATTAACGGTATATGAACTTTCTTTATCCCATGCCCTGTTTCCTGATTATTTCAGTTTAAAGAAATTGGAGAAACCCATTGAAAACAGTTGATTTCCAACCCTTTATTTGTAACTTGACAATTTTATATTCTTTTGTAGATCTAATTTTTTTTCTCTCTCTGCCTGAATTGTCTTTTCTCACAGAGGATGAAAAGGTTGATTTGAAAGTGGTGATGGATAATGCAAAAGCTTTCACAGGTGAGTAAGAAGGCATGTGAAAGGGGCATTCAGTGTTAAGTAAGACCTTATCGCTTTAGGGGAGCTGTGATGCCCTACGCCATAGGGAATTGCTCTGCCAACTCAAAGACAGTGCTCTCCAGCAGCAGGCACGAGGAAGAGAAAGGCAGTCTCCTCCTGTGCGATATGTAGCCTCGGAATGGGATGGTTCTGATACAGTGCACTGGGGCGGAGGGAGCAGAGTGGAACTTCCCCATGGGGTTCCCAAGGCTCTAAATCCTTACACAAGTGGGCTGCCTTCTTTTTCCTCCATGCAGTGGCTGGTGTGTTCAAACTACTGATCTTTTGGTTAACAGCCAAGCGCTTAATCACTGTGCCACTGTGATGCCTTTTCTAGTATAGATTTACATTATATCGAGTTTTCATCAATAATATTTTTCACTTAACCATTATTTAAGCAGCCAAAATACAAATCAGTGCTGTCCTATCTCAAGGTGAAGCTTTTACACTCTAGCCTAGAAAAATGACCATAATGTCAAAAAAATCCAAAGTTTTATCCAGAATATGATAGCATTGGACAAGTAGCCACAGTTAGATGAGTTCTTCTTTTGCTTGGAAACAAAAGCAAAAACTGTTTCTGACTTAAAAACTCAGACTTGCATGTCCTTTGACTCTGTGTCATTTAACCAGTTCGGAGGAAATTTGCTCACCTAAGTAAAGATGAAGGAGCCTAGTGGCATCGTCCACAGAGAGTCGCACTGCCGACCCAAAGGCTGCGCCTCTGTAGTGGTTCAAGTCCACCAGCGGACCTGAGGGGGAAAGATGGACATGCGGTTTACAGCCTCAGAAACCTGATGGAGGGTGGCCTGGAGTCAAGACTGACTTGCCGACAGTGTTTCGGAGGGAGGATGCCACAGTATTGGTTTTGATGTTGGTAGTCCCATCCCAAAATTCTTGTCTTTACAATTCCCATCTTTCCAAAGGTGGGAAAGTTGATGTCAGTAATCTGAAAAATGTGCTGAGGAGAATGGGGATACAACTCACTGAGGAGGAGCAGGCAGAACTATTGAAAACACTTCCAAGAGACAGTGAGTATTTTAAAAAGTCGTTTGTGGCTTGGATTTAGGGGCTTGTGTGTGAGAACTTGTAAAATTGCATAAGGGTGCTTGCTGAAATTCATTTACAAAATGCAGTTCTCACACAAGAGACACCCTACTTATGTCACATATTAATCCTAGGAGTTGGCAACGTTTTTCACTTGTCTCTCACCATTAAAGCTAAGAATTCTTTCATCCTGAGAGCACTAAGTCAGATCAAAATCATGACCAAGGAGAAGAGGAGAAAGGTGAAACAGAAATAACACCTTTTCAAATTCAGTGAATAAGTTAATAACATTGAAAACTTTCTCCAGGAAGGTCAGTCTGAAGTGACCAGATAATCAGACATTATGTGTCATACAATCAGCAATCTGGAACAGGACAGACCTTCTCACAAATTAATTAGAGTGCAAGGGAAGGAAAAGTGGAAATTTATGAAACTAGGTAAAGGGAATAACAATCTAAAATGAGGATTTGCTTAGACAAATTAATTGTATCAACTAAGGTTATATTGTCTATGAATGATCATCTGAAAAAGCCAATAAGATTTGTCAAGTTTTACTCAAAAGATTTTTTTAAAAAAAGAAAACTTTCTTCATCTTCAGTTTTATTCTTACTGTAGAGTAAAATATAATCAACTGTCAAACAAATCTGAGGATTTTTTTTCCTGAAATTTTGGGTTTTGTGCTGTATTTCTGAGTCTTGTCACCATTTAAGCCTGTATTCTGAATTGTGTCTTAGCTTTTAGCTGCTGGAAAAGTGTATAAAAAAAGACTGCTAAAAAGTGTGAAGGCCCTCAAGGGTGAGTGAGAAGCATCACGAATGACTAAGGAAAAAGAAAATCTTTATGTCGAGCAGTTTGTTTGATAAGATAAGCCTTGCTTCCTACCACTATATTGAGCCAGCATGGTGCTCTGTAAGCTAGCATTTTTCTTTGGTGTACTGCTGGCTGGTTGCATAGACCTTAGAGAATCATATTACTGAAAGAAGTTTGAAATGCTCTTTTCTGGCAGGAACTATCTACATTAGTTGTTGTGTTAGCCATGAGTATTCAGACTTGCCTGTCCCCACCCCTTCTTTGGTCTCTCATTGAAAACTGAAGCAGAGCCCTTGTCTAGTATTAAGAAAATATTTTATTTCCACTTTCCATACTAATTCTGTATCTGTTTTATAATTAAGAAAAAAATCTAAAGGAACCACTATCAAAATATGAATAAAAAGCAAAAAAACAATTATAAATTTTCCACTCTAGCACTTAACCTCTGACAGAAAAAAAATTAAAATTTATGCACAATAAAGTTAAAGTATAATTAACAATTTGGTGACTACCTTTCTCATTTTGTACCTGTTTTTAACAGACTTATCTAAATACATGACTATAGATATGTATACATGTTTATAATTTTTCTATCTTTGTGTTTTGTCCTCCAAATTGGGTTTATAATGCATGACTATAATTAGTATTTTTCTCTCCTAGACAACAGTACTCATGTTCTTAATCCATGTCCTTTCTTTAAGGAGTAGAATGCTTTGTGGGAAACGTGGGGATTATGCCCAAGGATAAGGAACGTGAGGAACTAATGATGCAGCTGCTGCCTGATGGTGAGTGTTATCGACATCACTGTGCCCTTCAGAGATACTTGAATTCTATTAGAACTGTAGAACGTGACCTTTTCTGGTGTCGAATGAAGTAAGTGTAAATAGAAATACTTTGTTCTGACTTGTGAAGAAATACTATCACCAAAATTCTTTTTTAAAACGTTCCAGGGGCCTTCTGAGTAAGATGGAGGGTCAGGCAAACAGGAGTCGATAGCCCTTTCAACCAAAATGCCAGGAAACAAGATAACAGATATGGAAGGTAATTCTGGAATCCTGAGCTGAGAAGGAAAGGACAAATGCTTCAAACACTGGCTGAGAAATAACCTTACTGAAAGCATCAAATAAGATTTATACAGTCCAGAATTATAAACAGCACAGCTATTTAGGTTGACAGGTGGTCAGGTCCTCTTGAGAACATGGGACTACAGTGATGTCCACACCAGCAGCTGTCTGAAGACAAGAGAGGTGCAGTCTGCCCTTTTATTCCCCGTACCCTCCTGCGGATCAGGGCAGTGAGTTTTCCGTACCATCGTCCACCCCTGGGTGAATGGCAGTGTTCCTTGTCCTGAGGTCAAGCCCTCACCATTTTTAATCTGGTGCCAGGAGCACATTAGTAACTCTACACTTAGAGACACCCTTTCAGAAGTTGGTGTACTGTACCAGACCTGCCCTGCGACTGGCCACTGAATTAGTAGGAGTACCACATCTGAGTGGAGTCCTTGCCTCTCACTGGCACTCCTGGGGGTACCTCACACATCACATGTTACAGTCACATCGGAAGCAGTGTGAACACCGTGGAGGGTGTCAATCTTGGGCATCCCAGATTGGCAATGGCTGGCTCCATGCTAGCCATCTCTGCCTCCGTACCTGACTGGCACCTAAACTCTGGACCGGCAAGGACGACAACAACCCTAGAGAGGAAGAGGCTTCGAGGCCAACAGAAACACCGTCCCAGGCTGGGTGCTCTGCCCCTTGACAAGTCCTAAACCAAAAGAGGACTTGTCCTTAGCCTAGTTTACCTCATAGGGGTTCAGCCATCTCTCAAATGAGCAAAAACTCTGGCCTGACCAGTTACCCTAACCTCAAACTTCTGTTGGACTGACAAACTGTCCTAGATCAGACACCTCACCTCCACTCACCATAGCAGTGACAAAAGCACCAACAAGGCGCCCAGCGTATCCTCCTCCATCGTCCCTTCTTACCCTCTCTCATTCTTTATTTCTCATTCTTTATTTCCTGCTTTTAGGATTTGTGTTTGTCTCATTTTTTTTTCCATTTCTTCCACCTACTTCTCTCTCTAGGTTTTCTCTTTCCTGGACAGACCTTCTCTTTCTCTCTCTCCCTGTTTTCATAGACTGTCCAATCTTGGGGGGTTTTGCACGGGGAGGGAGTTGTTTTGTTTCGCTTCCTTTTTCTTTTTTCCAGTCTGACAACAGACAGCAATAATTTCCAGCCTCACCTACACCTCCTGCAGCTTCTCTCATTGAGCAAGTGTAAAGACAAACATCTGCTCACCTGATCAGAAAGGCCTGCAACCAATGCCCGTCCATGATGCAGAGGCAACAATTCTTTTTTGGTCTGTCTTTACTCATTGCTCAACTTTCATATGCATATGAAGCAATTGAAAATACCATGGCTTAAATCAGAAGGATCTTAGTCTTTAATGCTTAATCCTTACTCTTTAACACTTTCAAGAGGTCCTTGACAGCAGATTTCCTCAATATAATACATCTTTTGATTTCTTGACTGTTGTTTCCACTGATGTTGACTGTGAATCCAAGTAAAATGAAGTAATTGACAACTTCCGATTTCTCCCATCTGTCATGATATTGGAGCGAGGACTTTCCATGTGATGGTTTGGATACAGTGGCTATAGCAGTGGATTGAACTGTGTCAGAGAATAAGGATGGTGAGGGATAGGACAGGATTCATGTCTCTTGTTTATAGGGTCACTGTGAATCATACATGACTCAACAACACCTAACAGCAACAGCAACCATTAATGCCACTCCTAGAAACTTATCCTGAAGAAATCCTGATAAAATCCTGATGGAATCAAGGAAGATTTAAAAAAAAAAAGTCTAGACTTTCATTCTTATAATGAGAACCTGAAACAACCTGAATGTCCAAAAATAAAAGAAACAGTTATTGAAAGAGAACAAGGAAGTATTTTCAGAGAAAACAAAGCGATTCTGTATGGTTTTAAATCAGGAAAAGTGTGTCAAGGTTGTATCTTTTTCACTATACATATTCAATCTTTATGCTGAACAAACACTTCAAGAAGCTAGACTATATGAAGAGGAATGTGTTATCAGAACTGATAGAAGACTTATTAATAACTTTTGATATCCAAATGACACAACCTTATAAACAATAAAGACAACTTGAAACACATACTGGTAAAAATCAAAGACTGTAGCTGTCCATATTGATTATACGGCAACATAAAGAAAACTAAAGTCTTCATTAGACTAATAAGCAACATCATGTTAATGAAGACAAAATTCAAGTTCTCAAAGATAGAATTTTAAATGGATCCATAATCAACACCTATTGAAACAATAGTCAATAAATTAAATGATACATTGCATTGGGAAAATCTACTGGAAAAGATCTATCTAAAGGAGGCTCTGGTGGCCTATTTGTGAGGAACTGTGCTGCCAAGGCAAAGGTACATGGTTCTAATCCACTAGCCGCACTGCAGGAGAAAGATGAACAGTCTCACACGTACTTTACTGACTCTGAAAACTCACTGGAGGGTCAGCTGAGTCACTTCTGACTCAAAGGTACATGTCAACAAAACTGATTAAAAAAAAACTGATAAAGGCTAAGGATGTCATTTTGAGGTCTAAGATATGGCCAAACAAGTCAGTTACCTCATATACATGTGAAAGTTGGACAATGAATAAGGAAGGCCAAAAAAGAATTGATGTCTTTTCATTATAGTGCTGGTGAAGAATATTGAATATATTCTGGACTCCCAAAAGAGAGCAAACCAGTCTGTTTTGGAAGTGTAGCCAGAATGCACCTGAAATGATTTAGCTCCCATATTTTGAACATATTATCAGAAAGGGTCATCATGTGTGATGAAGTGGAATATGACAAAAAAAAAGAGATCTCTTCAGTGATACAGACTGACACAGCAGTTGCCACAGTGGGCTCAGGAACAGAAGCAGCTGTGAGGAAGGCACAGGACCAAGCACTGATTGCTTAGTCCATAGCGTCACTACAATTCAGGACTGACTCAATGGCACCTATATGCCCATCTACATGAACCACTTTAATGGAAAAAATTTAATGGTGAAATGATATAGTAACTTGGAAATATGTTTATGAAGCAATATTAGGTTATAAAATCAGGAAACAAACCTGTATTATGTGGAATTGCCACATTGTAAAAGCAGTCTTATTCTCCAAGAATAGGATGTGAAATGAAAAATAAGAATTTGTAAGATTTTGTGTTGGTTGTTGTTAGATGCCCTTGACTTAACTCCAACGCATAGCAATACCAAGAACAACAGAACAAACCATGACCAGGCCTGTGCCGTCCTGACGTTTCTGCCATGCTCATGGTCGTTGCTGAAGTCACAGTATGTGTGCATTCATCTCACAGAGGGTCTTCCTCTTTTTCAGTGACTCTTTCCAAGCGTGATTTCTCTGCAGACTGGCCCCTCCCAATGACATGCCCAAAGTATGCTATGATTTTTCCCATATTGTTTTTCAGTGTTCCAACTAGAGGTTTGAACTTTGTCTCCAGTTCTGTCAGATTAGAAACACTATGCATGATCTTCCTTTTTTATTTCTAACTGTAGGTCTTTGTGTAGTTCATTATAATTCTTTTCTTTGTCTTCATGAGCTAGCCGTTAAAATCTTGTCAGCTTTCTTACTTCATGTCTTCCTTTACCTTCTCTTTGCTCAAGAGCAACTTTCAGAGTCTTTTCTGGTGTCCATTTGGTCTTTCCTTTATGTCTTGTCTTTTTAATTACTTTTTTTCATTTCTCTGTGGCAGGGTGGTAGAATTATATTTTTATTCATTTTATATCTACAGTGCATGAAGAATAATTACTCCTTTGTTGATTATTTTGAAATAGTAAAATTTAGATGGCATGGTGGCCAGATAAGAAAGTACATTTAAATATGTTTAAAAATATATTTTTTTAAAAAAATGTATTTTTAAAGTACATTTTGCTGGAAAAACAACCACTCTTCAAGTGGGTTAAGAGGATCAAAGAAAATAAAACCAAGTCCTCCTTTGATTTGCTATAGATTTGCAAATACTCATCAGTCATTTCTTAAGCTCTAGAGTTTGAGAAATTAGTTTCTTCTCTATAACCACCTTGTTATTCCCTGAACCAAAATTAAAGACCCTAGATTTCTTTCTGATACTCCTATTAAATAAATCTAGGTATACACAAAATGATGATCTGTGTAAGGATGTTATTAGGGGACCTCATGTCAACAATCACAAGTGTTAGAGAAGAACTGCTTTACACAATTTCTTACCTGCAGCCAGACTGTCTTCCAAAGAGCTACTGAGATTAAAACATCAATCTTTACGCCATCCAAGCTGTGTTTTTATAAACATGGATAGGATTTTTTTTTCTCACTTTTTGTAATTTCAATCCATCTTTCACCATTTCTAAGAAGATGTGATTGACGTCCAAGAATTAGACAGCTTTCTAGCAAACAAGGGAATTGAGCTCTCAAAAGGAGAGGAGATTTCAATAACCTGGGCTGCCCTTTCTCCCCACAGCCCTTTCCCCTCTCCCCACTTTTTCTTTTTTTGCCCCAATGATTAAATATAGCTGTAAAGGAGGAGGTCTCCATGCATTTCATAATACTAAGGGCAAGAATTGCCCTGATGCATTTGACCATACAAGGCTGTAGAAATTTTAGGAACTGGCAGAATAACCTTTTGTGTAAAAAGCTTTAAAGTTAAAGATACAGAGAAGGCACTTTTAACTATGCTTTTGGATTCTGCAGCTGCTGCCATTTAAATGCTAATAAATTATTTCTACAATCTAAAGAGAGAGAGAGAGAAGAAGGCACTGATACCTAAATTGACATTTGATGATCAGTTGCTTTAAAATGGCAGTAAAAATTCTGTTGTCTTTTAAGGAATATGCCTTTGTTGTTCAGTAAGTTATCTTTCAAGACTGTAATCATATGATTGGAATTACTTTGTATGTTTTGTTTTATGAAGAGCAACGATGTCAGTCTGGAGACTAAAGTGCACCTGATACAACCCATAATCTTTGCAATTACTAGCTATGCATCAGAGAACTGGACAGTGCCTAAGGACGATAGAAGGAGAAATGATGCATTTGAGCTATGGTGCTGGAGAAGAGTATTGAATATACCATGGACTACTAGGAGAACAAACAAATTCATCCTGGAGAGGGTGACGCCAGGCTGCTCCTTGGAGGCAAAGATTCTGAAGCTTTCTCTGACCTACTTTGGACATGTTGCAAGGCAAGATCCGTCCATGGAGAGGGACGTCATGCTTGGGAGGTGGAGGGACAGTGTAGGAGAGAAAGATCCTCGATGAGGTGGATTGATTCAGTGACTGGTGTAATGGGGGTAGGTGTGTCTGAGACAGTGAGATTGGCACGGGATAGAGCAGGGTTTAGGGCTGTTGGGCATAGGGTTGCTATGAGTCACTGGCAACTAGACGACATGTAACAACAACAACACAGTAATTTATCTTTACAAAGCATATCAGTTTCTACGGCGTTCCAAGTGGCTTAGCAGTTAGCTGCTAAATGAAAAATTAGTGGTTAGAACTGAGAAAAAAGATGAAGCAGTCTACTTCTGGATTACTGCCCTGGAAATATCATGGACAGCTCCACCCTGCACTGTGGGGCTGCTGTGGGTTAAAACTGACTTAACAGCAGCAGGATTTTGGTATACCTATATGTTTTTGTTCCCATTCCAAAGAGTGGTGACCTAACAGAGTGTGGAAATGATAGAACAGTATCATTGATATCACATGCAAGCAAGATTCTGTTGAAGATTACCCAAAAACAGTTGGAACAGCACATCAGCAGAGAACTGCCAGAAGTCCAGGCTGGATTTAGAAGGGGTCGTGGTACTAGGGATAGTGTAGCTAATGTTGGATGGATCTTAGCTGAAAGCAGGGAATACCAGAGAAATGTATATCTGTGTTTCATCTTTTATGCAAAGGTGTTTGACTGTGTGGATCACAACACACCAAACTGTGGCTGACTCTGAGAAGAATGGGAATCCCAGAACACTTGATTGTGCTAATGTAAAACCTATACTTGGAACAAGAGGCATTCATCAGAACAGAGCAAAGAAACACTGCATGGTTCAAAATTGGGAAAGGTGTACACCAGGGATGTGTCCTATCTCCATACCTTTTCAACCTGTATGCAGAACAGATTATCTGGGAGGCTGGGCTCTATGAGGAGAAGTGTGACATCAGGATTGGTGGAAGATCCATGAACAATCTGCGTTATGCAGATGACACAATCCTGGTTGCTGAAACTGAGGAGGACCTGAAGCGCTTGCTGCAGAGGGTATAGGATTGCAGCCTTCAATATGGATTGAGGCTTAATATTAAGAAGACAAAGATTCTCACCACTGGGCCAATTGGCAGCATCAGGTTGGATCATGAAGAGATTGAAATTGTTCACAGCTTTAGTTTGCTTGGTTCCACAGTCAACGCTCTTGGCACCAGAAGCCAGGAAATTAAAAGACATATTGCAATGGGAAATATGTTAGGGACCTCTCCAGGGTACTGAAGAGCAATGGTGTCACTCTGGAGACTAAGGTACACCTAATACAGGCAATGGTCTTTGCAATCATTTGCTATGCATCAGAGAGCTGACAATGACTAGGGAGGATAAAAGGGGAATTGATACCTTTGGGCTGTGGTGCTGGAGAAGAGTATTGAATGTACCATGGACTGCTAAGAAAATGAACAGGTTCATCCTGCAAAGGGTTAAACCAGGCTGCTCCTTGGAGGCAAGGATTCTGAGGCTTCGTCTGACATACTTTGGACATGTTGTAAGGAGGGACCAGTCCTTGGAGAAGGACATCATGTTTGGAAGGGTGGAGGGACAGTGTAAGAGAGGAAGACCTTCGATGAGATAGATCAATTCGTGATTGGGGTAATGGGATTAGGTATGTCGGAGACAGTGAGATTGGCACAGGATAGAGCAGGGTTTAGGGCTCTTGTACATAGGGTCGCTATGACTTTCATGTGACTCCACAGCACATAACAACAAACAACAACAATCCTTCCTTATTTTTTAACTCAGTTTACCAAAACCTATGAGAGTTTGACCTTTTAAACTTTGTATTATTGGTTTGCATACAATCATTCATGCGCATCGTGTTTCATTTATGTGTATTGCGTTTCATTCATGTAGAATGTGTTTTATACAATCATTCATATACATTGTGGTTTGGGGAGGCCTTCTTTGTTGTTTTGGGGTTTTTTACAAAAAGCCAAGAAAGTAAGATTATTCTGGCATGCTGTAAAAAGAAAAGACAGGTAAAGAGTGGGAGAACTGGCATAGTTGGCAGGGCAACCACTCCTGAAACTCTGAAAGTTTTAATTTTTTTTTAATCTGTTTTCCTAGGCTGAAACAATTAACAAAATTATTCTTAATTAACAATTAAGACAACTAATAACGCTTTACTAAAACTTTCAGTTCACTAATGTTTGATATGAAAATAAGGTTAGCATGGAATGTAAAACAGAATTTTTTTAGATCTTTGTTTCTCTCCAGTCCCAACAGTGTGAAGATATTCTGATTCTGTGTTTCATACCCGCCCTTAGCTTCAGGGTGCTGAACGAACCACTTTTAAAACAAAGTTGAAGTAGGACTGAAAAGAATGTGGTTCTTTCTCTCCTGGTTGCCTGAGTAGGAGCAGTGAGTGAATGAGGTCACAGTTGTGTGATGGAATAAACCCTTTATTAGATTCTTGATCTGACCACCAGCCAGTGGTATGTAGCAGAGTTTACAGCAGGCAAATACCAGGATTTTTTTGGGATTCCATGCTGAGTTCTTTTTTAAAGTTTCTCATCTGTGAGAGAGTGAAGGTTTTTTAAGAAGAAGGGGCTTTTTGAGCCATGTGAGTGGTTGGACAGTACCCTCCAAGTGCCTAAGTTGTGGAGGCTCCCCAGAGATCCTGGCTCTGTAGTTCATTCCATATTTCAAGGACTTGAAGTTAAGTTGTGAAGAAAAGCTCCTTTTCAGGATTTGAGGGGGAAATTTAGCAAATTCAAACCAAACATTCAGTCTTTTATTCACAGTAGTATCTATTATTTCTAACCAACAGCCCAATTTATTTGTCAGTGAGCCACCTAATACCTAGTCAGTTTTTGAGAGATAAGTTATTTTAGCCTTTGTTCTCTAAAGGAGCAGAAAAAGTGGCAGGGATGGAGGGGAGAGATTTTCTTCAGAGAAATGGTTCATGCAATTGAAGGGCCTGAAAAGTCCCAAAATATGAGCCAGGTGACAGGCCAGGTGCGTGCAGGGTCTGATGAGTCCCAAATCTGAAGGTCAGGCAGTAGGCTGTAGGCCTCCGCTGGCTGATGAATCCAAAATCTGCAGGCTGCAGGCTTATGTCCCCAAAGGAAAACCCTACCAACATAGTTATGGGTCCCTCCCAAACCAAAAAAGCAAAACCCACTACCATCAAGTCCATTCTGATTCAGAGCTACCCTACGGAACAGGGCAGAATTGCCCTGCCGAGCTTCCAGGGCTATAAATCTTGACAGCAGCAGACGGCCGCATCATTTCTCCTGGGGGTGGCTTGTCAGTTCCACTCAGCACCCCTTGGTTAGCACTTGAGTGGTTAATCACTGTACCACCAGGACTCACTCATTGCTCACTCTCTTTCTCAGTCTCTCATTACTGTAGACATGGCTGACCCTCCAGCAGGTTTTCAGAGGCTGTGAACTGCATGGGAGGAGATTGCCCGTGGGTGGTGGATTTGAACCACCTGATTTTGGGTCAGTAATGCAGCTCCTTAGCAACTAGGCCTCTAGAGATCTTTCATAATATCTGCTATTTAAACCCCATACAGAAGTAGAAAGAAAGGGCTAAGAAGGCCATAGCAGTCAAAGAATCCATTCAGGTGGGACCTAAGAAGTGAAATAGGATTGTATCCACGCCCATACTTTTTAAGAACTGACAGGACAGAGATCCTGACAGATCTACTTACTGCCAGGCAGGTGCGCAAAGTATAAGCAAGTAAGTAAATAATTTCGAAATGCTGTAACATTTTTCATAACTTTTTATAGAATCAGAGTGGTATTATCTAAAGGGGAGCAATTTCAATAAATTTTAGTTGGAAATTTGAGAATGATAAAAGAATTCTTTCTATATGGTGTTCAAACTCCGTGCAGAGCTCTGTCTTAACTATCACTCCTAAAGACCTTGAACTTGAAACCCCAGAAAAATTTGTGCTGAGTAAGGTGCAAAAAGATCATGGAGAAATTAATCTGTGAGTTGAGTTTATGTGCTCTTATTTAATACTTAACTTGTATCTTCTGAATTACAGACAGTGTCACTGGTCTCATGGCAGCTTCTGACATTAAATCAAAAATTAAGCTGAATCCTCTGACAAAAGTCCCCATCTCCTATGGCAAGAGGTAGGAAATGAATGTATTAAGGCAACAGACATGATAAGATAATGAATTACTAGAATGATGATGTCTGTTTAAAAGAGAATACATTTAGATCACACAGATACCTAAACCCTTAAACAAACCAAGGTAAAGAAAATGGTCTATGGCTCATATATGACCAGACAGATGAACTTATGTAACGTGGCCATGACTAACTCAATATTCAGGTAATGAATATCCTAAAATAATGACTTAATACTGAAAAGGGAGGTTTGCCAGTGGTATAACCATAGCTTTTTATCAGTCTCCAGTAAACCACCCTTGATAACTGAAGTGAGACTCTGATCTATAGTTTATCAGATTAGAAAACTCACTTCTCCCACAATTAGCTAGTTTCTTTGTCACTTTGAGAGCATTTTCCCAGCGTCCTTGACTATGCCCTTGATAAGAAAAGGTATTACAGACTTTTTAGAACAAAGAGGGCAAGATACCCTTCTAGCAGCTTTTATTCTATTGTTCACTTTCCCTGCCTTAAAAGTTATCCTTTATTATTATTACACGTAATCATAACTGCCAGTATATCCTTGTAGGCATTTTACAAGTTGTCAGAAGTAATGAATTCCTTGTTACTGAAAGTAGTAAAGACAGGACTAGATAGCACATAGAGCCGGAAATTCTACATTAACGGAAAGACTGAACTGGATTTGTTCCAAGTCTGAGGTGATGGGTTTCTTTTCCATTGTTGCATATTTTCTCCACACTCACCTCCCCCTCCCCTAGTCCACCCCACAATGCATCGCTTGTTCCAGATTGTTCTCATATATACAGTCCTTTTGGACTGTTCTTCCTCTCATCTCTTCTAATGCAGTGTTCATTATGTATCCACTCTATCCTCATTCCTTTCCCAATGTTCCCCATGTCTGTCCTATTTAAAACTGTGGTGTTATGCAGTATTTGTATTTTTTTGTGACGTAACATAATGTTCCCAATACTCCTTCATGTTGTGTAATGTTTTACTATTTCATTGGTTTTCACTGCTGTTTTTTCTATCCATTCATTTGTTGATGGGCACATGGGTTGCTTCCATCTCTTTGCTATTGCGGATAATGCAGCAATAAACATGAGTGTGTATACATCTGTTTGAGTTGTGGCTCTGGCTTCTTTAGGGTAGTATATTCCCAGTAGCGGAATTGCTGGGTCAAATGGTATTTCTATTTCCAACTTTTTGAGAATGGACCAGCCCGCCTTCCATAGCAGTTGTACTATTTTACATTCCCACCAACAGTGAATAAGAGTTCTAATCTCTCCACAACTTTGCCAGCATTTGCTGTTTGCCAAAGTCTAAGGTTCTTAATCCTTAGAAATAATGTACAAAAAAAAAAGTTTTCCCTTGTATGATCTAGCATAAGGCCATAAATATTATTCTTCTAATGGACATGGTGAGGGCTTTATCCTACCAGGCCTTCTGCTTTCCTCAAAGCTTCATATTTCTCATCTACTGCATTTTTTTCACGTCATGCCTAAGAAATTTGTTTATATTTAAGGGAAAAAAAACAAATGTAAAAATAACCAATCAGAGTAAAGAAAAAATTTTAGTCTTCATAATGTCAAATCTTTGATTAAAAGGAAATATCAAAAGAAAGAAATGCATGTTAGTAAAAGCTGAGAAAATAAAATTAATCAGATCAAAGTTATACGTTGAAAAAGTTGAGAACAGTGAATTTAGTGGGCTTGTCAGCTTTCTTTCCAGATCCCTTTTGGAAAATTAGTTTGAATCTTCTAGGCACAATTTAGAAGATACTAAATTAATTACCTTGAATGTTTTTATTTTTCAAAATAGTGCTTAGTATTTCTTTCAGTTTTTTAATGCTTCCCTGCAAAATCACAATAACTAAGCGGAGGTATAGTCCTTAAAACTTCTAGAATCAAATTGAATTTTTTTAGAGGATAAATTTAAAATTTTATTATTATTTGATAAGTTTGTTTTTACATTTTTTTTATTATAAGAAAACACATTTTATATGTTTACTTGTATGTCACAGTTAGGTGTGCTCCTAGTAATGGAACAGCTGGGAGCGCGTGGGGCCTTGGAGCACAGGCTGGTGATCTGCTTTCCAAAGGTCACAGCCCAGAAAGCCTGGGATGCAGGTCTACTGGGCAGGCTTATTCCAAACCAGAAAACTAACACCTTATAAATTACTTCAGCAAAAAGAACGAATAAATGACTGCAAATCTATATAAGATGTCCCTGAAATATTAGTATTTTCCTCTTTTTTCCAGATTTTCTTTTCTTGAGAAAATAAAAGTTCACTCACACTTCCCAAGAGCTCCTTCCCATCTCTCTCCCTCTCTTCCTCCTTCTGCCCTCTCCCCCCTCTTCCTCCTTCCCCTCTCCCCTCTCCCTCCTTCCCCTCTCTCTCTCCCTCTCTGTTCCTCCTTCCCCTCTCTCTTCTCTTCCTTCTTCCTCTCTCTCTCCCCCCTCTTCCTCCTTCCCCTCTCCCCTCTCCCTCCTTCCCCTCTCTCTCTCCCTCTCTGTTCCTCCTTCCCCTCTCTCTTCTCTTCCTTCTTCCTCTCTCTCTCCCCCCTCTTCCTCCTTCCCCTCTCCCCCTCTTCCTCTTTCCCCTCTCCCTCCTTCCCCTCTCTCTCCCTCTCTTCCTCCTTCCCCTTTCTCTCTCCCCTCTTCCTCCTCTCCCTCTCTCCCTCCTCTCCCTCTCTCCTCTCTTCCTCCTTCCTCTCTCTCTCCCCTCTTTTTCCTTCCCCTCTCTCTCCCCCTCTTTCCCCTCTCTCTCTACCTCCTTCCCCTCTCTCCCCTCTTCCTCCTTCCCTCCTCTCTCCTTCCCCTCTCTCTCCCCTCTTCCTCCTTCCCCTTTCTCTCTCCCCTCTTCCTCCTTTCCCTCTCTCCTCTCTTCCTCCTTCCCCTCTCCCCTCTTCCTCCTTTCCCTCTCTCCTCTCTTCCTCCTTCCCCTTTCTCTCTCCCCTCTTCCTCCTTTCCCTCTCTCCTCTCTTCCTCCTTCCCCTCTCTCTCCCCTCTTCCTCCTTCCCCTTTCTCTCTCCCCTCTTCCTCCTTTCCCTTTCTCCTCTCTTCTTCCTTCCCCTCTCTCTCCCCTCTTCCTCCTTCCCCTCTCTCTCCCCTCTTCCTCCTTCCCCTCTCTCTCCCCTCTTCCTCCTTCCCCTCTCTCTCCCTCTCTTCCATCCTCTGCATTTCCTCCCTCCCTCTCTTCTTCCCTCCTTTTCTCCCTACTCCCTGGCTTCCCTTCCCTACTTCCTCTCTCTTATGCTGGTAGAAATACAATTCAGCAATATATATTTTCAAATATTAAGCAAAGATTTCTCTTTAAGGGCAGTCACCACACTTTTATCTATGCTATTTAGAAATTTGGAATAACATATTTCTAACAATAGGAGTTATAGAAGACTTGTAGACTCATCTTTTGGAGTCAGACAAACCTTGGTTTGAATCCTAGGTCCTCCATAGATTATTTAATCCCTCTGAACCTCTTTTGTAAAATGATAAAAATCATATTACTTGGTTTGTTTTATTTTTTTTTAAAGTGAGTAAGCTTGACCTACAAAGATGAGACTGACTAGGTAGCCAGCACTTTCTCACTGTTTGTCCCATAGCTATAGGTGTGCAGCATTAACAGGAGCCTTTGATAATTTGTCTTAGTATGTGTGTGATGCTTGTAGTCCTTGTAGACAGCCAAAAGTGACTACTATTTGTTCATTTCATCTATGTGTTGACTCTTTTTCTGTCTCTCTAAGGGACAGAGAATCACCAGGATTTCTCCAAAACCAAACACATTACAAAGCAAAGAAGTTAAATGCTTCACAAATGGAAGGTAATGAAACTCATCCCCCAAACAGCTACTTGTTTAGCTCTTGCCTCCTTTCTGGCCCTTCAAAATGCTCTGGGTTATTCTGAAGATTACCTTTTATCAAGGAAGTATGTTAAACAAACTTGGACATAATTTAGGGCAGGTAGCATAATCGCTATAGGATTCTTCACCCATAAGTAGAAATGTTAACACATGAGTGTAATATATTATTCTGTTTTAAAGCAAGAGTGGCATCCACTTTCCAAATAACTTGCCTCCAGAAACCCCATGAACTTTGATAAATGTTTATAATTGTAGGGGGCCTTCAGGCCTTTTGTTCACAGGGTGGCCGTGAGTCATGTTCAACTCGAAGGCAATCAACAACAACAATCTTATAAGCTTATTTCCTCATTTACTAATTTTAGAAACACCTTTTTTTATTTATTAATTTTTTTAAAAGTATCTTTTTCTCATATTCTGTCCAAATCACTGCTCCTTTTCCAAATCACTGTTTCTCACTTCCCCCCCCCTCTATTAAGCTCAATGCTGTGTACAGAGACTAGTCCCTCCTGCTAACATGTCCAAAGTACATGAGACAAAAATCTCACCATTCTCACTTCGAAGGTACGTTCAAGAGGGCTCTGGTGGCACAGTTCATTGAGGATTGTGCTGCTTTCAGGCCACCTCAGTCTGGGTTTGAATCCACCAGCTGCTCTGCAAGAGAAATATGTGCAGTCTTATCCCCGCAAACCCACTGGAGGCTCAGCTTTGAGTCAGTTCCAATTTGACAGCAACGACCTGAGTCTCACTATACTTATTCTAACATAGATGTGTTTCTTCTCTGGCAGTGCATATTGTTATCGTTGCTGTGTGCCATCAAATTGGAACCAACTCGTAGCTGAACCTCAAGCTTTCAATCCATGTCCTCTTCTGAATCCAGCTTGAATTTCTGACAGTTCCCTGTGAATGCACTGCTGCACCCAGTTTTCAAATTATATTCAGCAACATTTTAATTGCATGTGGATACTAATAATGTCGTTTGATAATTCCCACATTATGTTGGGTTACTTTTAAAAAAGGGGGCATATACATTAGTTCCTTCAGCCAGTTGACCAGTTAGCTGTCTTCTAAATTTCTTGGCATATGTAAGTATGTGCTCACAGCATACATTTTTGTTGAAACAGTGTACTTTGGCATTCAATCAATGTTTTAATTATACAATCCACAGACTCCTTTTACTGTGGAAATAAGCATATGTCCAAGTTCCAGGGGTTGAAGTGTAGATGTCTTCAGAGATGATTCTGCCTACTGCATGTATATTTCCACCATTTCGTTTACCCCACTTCACATCCCATGGGAGGATACTGACTTTTACAGGACATGTCTATAAGATCTCATTTTTCCTCTCAGCCCTTTCCCAGAATTTTATCTCTAATCAACAGTCTTGTGTGTCCCAGTGCCATGGGTATGTGTATTCTTCTTGAATGACCATCTTGACTAATTGCTCATTTAATTTACTCTCCCCAGCCTTCCAAATGGCCTATAACTTTTTTAATAAGGATAAAACTGGTTGTATTGATTTACATGGAATGATGTGCACCTTAGCTAAGTTGGGAATGAGTCTAACCAGGCATGAGGTCTATAATGAATTGAAATGTGCTGACATTGATCGTGAGTACTTTTTGTTTCTCATTATTTTATACATTATTTTTTATACATTGTTTTTCTGTTGTTTTTATTGTTGTTATATGCTGTCAAGTCACCGGTGACTCATAGCGTATGTACATAGGTACAACAGCTCTCAGCCCTTCTTTATCCTGTACCAACCTCAATGTCTAACACACATAGCTCTGTTACCCCAGTCACTGCGTCAATCCATCTCATCGAGGGCCTTCCCCTCCTGTGCTGTCCCTCCACCCTCCAAAGCATGATGTCCTTCTCCAAGGACTGATCCCTCCTTGCAACATGCCCAAAGTATGTCAGATGGAGCTTCAGAATCCTTGACTCCAAGGAGCACCCTGATTTCACCCTCTTCAGGATGAACCTGTTTGTTCTCCCAGCAGTCCATGGTATATGCAGTACCCTTCTCCAGCACCACAGCTCAAAGGCATCAATTCTCCTTTTATCATCCCTAGTCATTGTCCAGCTTTCTGATGCATAGCAAGTAATTGAAAAGACTATGCCCTAGATCAGGCACACTTTAGTCTCCAGATTGACAGCATTGCTCTTCAGTACTCTAGAGAGATCCCTGACAACAGACCTTTCCCTATGTTTTCTGTTAGTGACTTATAAATATGAGTAATGAACTGCAGTTATTCTTTGCCAAGAAACTCTGGTGGCATAATGCAAAGTGTGTTTCACCATAAACCAAAAAGTTGGCAACTTGAACCCAGCAGTCACTCTGCATGAGAAACATGGGCAGCATCCTCCTGCTAAGATTTACAGTCTCAAACACCTCATGGAAGGTTACTAAATTAACTAAATTAACTCAGTGGAGGTGAGGATATTACAGTTTGGAGAGTCTTGGTGGTACAGTGCTTAAGTGCTAGCTAAAAAAGGCAGTAATTTGAACTCATCAGCCACTCAACAGTAAAAAAATGAAGCAGTCTGATTCTTTAAAGGTTTACAACCTTGGAAACCTCATGAAACCATTCTACCCTAAGACAGAGGAGTCACATTGAGTCAGAATCAACTTGATGGCAATGGACTTCTGAATGCCACAGCACCTTTGTGTTTTTAAAGCATATAAATAATGTTATATGAGTATACTGACCTCGTGATCAAGTTGCTCAAACTGGTGTGCCATGTGGGGTACAGAACCAGCATATTATCTTCTCTTACTTCTCCCCACATCTACTGGTGTCACCTTTGGTCAGCAAGAGTTCCACAAGTGAATCAATGTTGAAGTGTCACCTGTTCCTGCCAACTGCCTAATCTTTCTATTCTGTCATCAGCACACACATACACACACATTCACTTCTCTATTAGCATTCATGGCCTTTCATTTTAGCACAAATGAAGTATAGTTTGGAGATGTTGCAGTAGGAATGGTGGCGAGGTATCTATCCAGTGGGAAAGGAGAGAATCATAACATATTCCTTCAAAAACGGCAAGTCTCCAGGACAGGAGGGATAGACAGACAGGATGCAGTGGCTGAAAGTGCTCGGACTTGACAGTTACACCACATCATCACCTCTGTTGGCTGTGAGTGACCAGTGTCGCAGCACCAAGTCCACTTCAAGAAGCCTAATGATTCCCTGAGCAAACCTCCAGCTGTAGGATACCACAGTTTTAAGTGTGAAGTGACCCAGGGTGTTCTAATTTTGTATTTAACATATTGGAGGGAGCTCTAGTAGTTTTATGGTGGTAAAGAGTTGCACTGCTATTCAAAAGCATGCAGTTCAAATCCACCAGCTTCTCTGAGGGATAAAGAAGGGCAGTCTTGTTTCATGCAGTTTACTGCCTCTGAAAACCTGCTTAAAGGTCATCTATGGGTCAGTACACAACAACAATAAATTTGATCATTAAAATATATTTTGTTAAAAAATATATTTTATCCTTATTTTGAGCCTTACTTAGACTTTTGTTGCAGGAGATGGGAAGGTGAACTTCTCCGATTTTATAAAGGTGCTCACAGATAAGAATCACTTCCTCAAGGATGTGGGTGAGTAGAGATTCTACTGAGTAGATGGAGGTGAATAATTTCCATTCACTTCTCTATAAGCACTGTTAATGTAGGCCTCCAATAAGGAGACAAATCATGGAAGAGTAGCCCGGGAAGTAATTTGTTTCTGAATTATTTCTGCAAAAAGAAATTTGCTGAGTAAATTGATACAGTTTCAGAATTTTCACTTAAATGCATCCATTAGGAAGTGGTGTTGCCTCAGGCTGCTTGCAGCTCGTTATCCTCTCTTAGGGAATGAATAGCCTAGAAAAATCTTATCTTTTTATAGTGTTTGAGGTTTTTTTCTACGTGTATGCATTACTTTGGGAGGTATTCCTTTTACAAAGGAAACAAATCTCTTTTAGGAAAAGAAAAATGCTCCCTCTCATGCAGATTTGGAACGTAGATAGTTCATTGGTCCTGAAAAATACTCTTTTCACTCTGATGAAGCCTCTATCTTCAGTGTCAGAGCTGGAGCATCTACTGGGCTTAAAGGACATGCCCTCACATGCAGTTATACCTGATGTTCAGGTGTATCTGAAGTATCGACTCTCTTTATTACAATGGTTTACTTGTATACCATTAGTGCTATAGTGATAGACTGCCTTTTAAAAATCTCACTACTAGCGAGCTCTGGTGGCCTAGTGGCAAGAAACTGCACTGCAGTCCCAAAGATATGTGGTTCAAATCCACCAGATGCTCTGCCGGAGAAGGAGGGGCCATCTCCTCCTATACCAGTCAGATCCAATTTGACGGTACACACACAGAGAAAATAAAAAAAAAAAAAAGAAATGAAAAATCTCACTACTATCCTATGACATTTTCTAAGATAAAGACATCTAAACACCAAAGTACCGAAACCACAGACATTCATACTATACAACGTGTCTTTGGGGCAAAGATTCACTATCTGTAAGCACCACTAGAGTAGTGAGGGTGTGTCTCCAAATGTGAGATCTTTTTAAAACATTTTTATAAAATTAATAAATAAGTATTCTATAGTGTATAGGCTACAAGGGAAACCAGAGGACCCATCTTGTTCACTCTGGCCCTTAGATGCCCTCAGAAAGGGAGAAACCCTGTTTTGGGGTAGTCAAGGGCTAGGACTGCTGACTTCAGGGACCAGGGAGTCATCTGAGACTGCAGACTCTAGTGATTCCAGAGTTGGTGACTTGGGATCTTACAGTCCATCCCTCATTGGTGACACGGGGAGGAGATAAGAGGTGAGAAACAATAATCAGATACACTGCAAGAGGCATCTCAGTGACTCCCAGAAGTGACAGAGTGAGGTGAGAGCTAGCCTAGTAGGAGGACTTGAGAGTGAACGGGAGAAGGGTGGGGAGGGAGCATGGGCCAGTAGGAGCTGACACATTTTTATCAATAGCTCTTTACCTAAAAGAACAAGACAGTAGTCCTTAACACATAAGGCGTGTTCATATTACAGAGTATTACTATGCTTATTTTGAAGTCATTGAACTAGGAGTAATTTTTATATTCTGTGCTCATTTTGTCTAATCAGTATATAAATATGACTTTTCTACCAAGTAGAGCAGATTCTGAATGTTTTATTATTCTTCTTTAATCCTTCCCTTGGTATTAATGTTATAATACTCAATAAAGACAGCTTGTTACTTTTTTGGATAGTTTATTTAGAATGCATTTTGAAATCTTGTTTCCTTGGTATTTCCAGAAATGGAGAACTCTGGAGATGTAGCTAGAAGCCCGGGTGACCTGTTATTTGATATCATATCAAAGCTTGTAGAGACTTCAGCCCTACCCCGGAAAGCAGTAACAGAAATAGTGAAGTAAGAGTCCAGGAGAAGGAGGGAAACTGCTTTATTGTATATTGAGGGGAATGCTGGTGCCTTGGTCTGTAGGAAACTGTGCTGTTAACCCAGAGACCACCCCTTCCTAACAGTTCCAATCCATCAGCAGCAACGCTGGGGAAAGATGAGCAGTTGACTCCCATACAATTTACTGCCTCAGAAAAACCAGTGTTGCCATCTGAGGGTCGCAGCGAGTGCCAAGAGAGCGCTATGAAGGCCTCAGGGACACTTTGTGAGTACAGATGGTGGGACGCTGCCTGCCCGCCCCCAAGTGTTGAACACTATCACTCTCCTGCATGGGAAGCTTCGCCCCCCAACCAGGCTTCTGATACTTTGTGTCACAGCTGACAAAGATGAAGAAGTCTTCTGGGGAGACTGTGGGCAGGTGTTCGAGAAGTCTCCCTTGGTGTGAAGAACTTTGGCATCTGGCTGCGGTACTCCAGCAGTGGGACCCACAACATGTACCAGGAGTGCCGGGCCCTGAACCCCACTAAATGGGCACTCGGCATCATGCCTGGGCCCAGTCCATCCAGATCATGAAGATGGAGATCACTGCCAGCAAGTGCTGCCTGCCCACAGTGAAGCAGTTCCATGACTCCATGATCAAGTTGCCACTGTCCCTCTGGGTTCTGCATCACCAGCACAAGCTAAGGTTCACCAACAAGCAACCCAACACCTCCGAGGCACCGCCCCTCTTCCCCATCCCAGTCTGCCCAATAAAAGGCCTTGAGGATTAGGAAAAAAGAAAAGAAAACCAATGTTTTGGTCCTGGTTCAATAGCAAGGCTTTGGAGTTTATCATATATAGCCCGCTATAGGAGAACTTTGGTGGCCTAAATGGGTAAGATATTCAGCTGGCAACCTAAAGATAAGCAGTTCAAATCTACTACCTGTTCTTTGAGAGAAAGACGGGCAGCATCCTCCCGTGCAATTTACAGCCTCTGAAAACCTGCTGTAGTCAATTAAGAGTGACTTCCAACCGGATGGCAATGAATGAATCTGTAAAAGAATTTATAACTACAGGGGGGGAAATGAAATGGAAAGAATATGCTATTAAAAAAATATATGTTGCATTAAAAAATCATTAAGAAAAAAAAAGAATTTATAACTTAAAATACACAGGAACACATGTCCCAGATCTGTTGATACATGAGCGCACAGGCCCCTGCCTACCAAAAGGCGGCCAATGGTGATTTACTCTACACAGGATGGAGACTAGTAAGATTTTCTCCTTTCTGATCTTCTATAGTCTCCAAATACTTTGCAATGAGTATTTCTTTTAAATAAATTATTTTTACATGTTTTAACACAACACAATATAATAGCAATATTGTTGTAAACAGTAAACAATAGGCATGGTTAAGGTTCATATAAAGCTGGTACACGTGAAGGTTTTTTTTGGGGAATTAAAATCTGTGGAAATTTTTCTAGACAAGACTAAGAGGGTTTAGGGAAGAAAAGAGAAGCTAGAATACAAAAATAGCCAAGTACTGGTTCAAATCCAAGTCACAGCACCAAAAGAGAAAAAAGCCAAATAACCTGTGGAAAGTTTCAGTGAGTATTCTATAAATATCATAAAAAGAGACAATAAATATTACTGGATTAATATACCAATTAAATTTAAAATAAACGAATGTAGCATATGACAATTCTTTAGTAGATGATTTTCTTTTCTGGATTACTTTTTTTTTTTTTTAGCTATTTCAATATAAAATCCCCTGAAACCACTGCAAGACTGATGTGGAATCCCTATGCTTTGGATTATGGGAAAAGGCCATTTAAGCCAGACTTATTCATGCCTCCAAGCTCAAGCCCGACAGCTTCCTTTGCCAATGCCGCCCGAGCTGCAGTAACACAAGAAAAGGATTTACTCAGATTTCTTGAAGAGGTCAAGCGTAAGAGTTACTTATCTTTTCACAATTGTTTTCAAAGGGTTTGGTTGTATATAAGTAGGTATAGAAATAATTTCAGCAACCAAGTACCCTAAGAAATACCTATTCTAAGTGACTGCTTTGTCACAAAGATATAATCTGAAAGCAAGTAAATCTATTACCTAAGTTCTCAGATAGTTGGATGAAGCCCCAAGTCTATGGTAGGTGGGAAGAGTGAGAGCAGGACATGGGGAGTGGAAAGTGACAGAACAAATGGCCACTGAAAGGAAGAATAAACAAAGAACAAAACAGGCATCCCATGTACAGATAGGCTGTCAATTTGTTACTGTTTTTACTTTTTTTTTTTCAGGATCCAGTCCTCCTTCAGAAAGCCCATATTCAAAAATTCCCATCTTTCCATTGTTTCCCAATGTGGATGGAATGGTGATGGGAAGACCATTCAAAGATATAGAAAAATTAGAAATACTAAGAAGAAGGGAGCCTCTGGATTTCTTTGATAATTATTTCTTCCATAAAAGAGACTGGAAAGCACAGGTGAGCTTTAGGTGGCTGCTGTTATTATTATGTGCCATCGAGTCAACAACTCATAGTGGCCCTGTGAACAGCAGTTCTGAACCTTGTCCTATTCTGTACCATCCTTATCACCTCTGATACAGCTAAGTGGACTGATGCAGTCACTGTGTCACAGCTTATTCAGTCTTCCTCTCTTTCACTGACCCGCCATCTTGCCAAGCATGATGGCCTTCTCCAAGGACTAGACCCAAGGACTTGAATTATGTAACATCAACTCATTTATTTTTTTTATTGTTATTAAATTTTATTAGTTTTAATGAACATTTACAGGGATTTTGGGTTTTTATTCCTTCATTGCTGCACCATTCTCTCTATCCTCCTCCCCAGTTTGTTCTTCTTCCCCCGCCATCCGAATGTCTGTTTTAATTGTCCAATTGCCACAGTACTTGTCAAAGTCAGTTCTGATTAATCTCCTTTGTCAGTGTGTCCTTTGCCATTCCCTATCACTCCTCCCTGAGAGAGACTTCACCCTGATTCATAAGGAAAAGGGGATGGTGTATTCTCTTAGCTACTTCCTGCTGAAAAGGGATGCTGTGGGTTTCAGGGTGAAGGTCTTCTCTCACTACTCTAAAGGGCCCCTTTGGCAGTAGGAAACACATGGACTATTATGGAGATTGATTTTGGAATTTAGATGCACTGTTATTAATTGTGCTTAGCCGTACATGTTCATATCCTGAAGATGTATCATGGGGGTGTTGCAACCTAGAAGACTCCAATTTGACTAACAAGTTATAAGTACATGAGTCAAAAATTATGGAAAAGTAAAAGAAAAGATTCTTTCATTGTTTTACAAACCCTCCCCCAGGTCCCCTCCACCATGTAGCCATCGCTGTAGACTCCTGTGATGACAGAAATACCTAGTCACATATCTCTTTTAAACCGTTTTCTCCCTCCTCTGTTTCAGTGCAGTATACATTATTGAACCCTTCTTACTCAGTCTCTCCCCAACCCCAAGGTTAGTCCCATTCTACAACAGTGGCATCATGTAATATTTGTCCTTTTGTGACTGGGATATTTCACTCAGCATAATTTTCTCCAGAGTCAACCATTTTGAATAATATTGCATGAGTTCCTTGTTTTTCAATGCAGCATAGTATTCCATTGTGCGAATATACCACAGCTTCTCTAGCCATTCGTTTGTTGATGGGCACTTAGGTTGTTTCCAACTCCTTGCTATTGTGAACAAAGCTGCAATAAACATGGGTGTGCATATATCTGCTTGGATGTCAGCTATGGTCTCTTCAGGGTATATTCCCAGTAGTGGTATTGCTGGGTCAAATGGTATCTCTATTTGCAACTTTTTGAGAAAGCGCCATACTGCTTTCCACAGGGGTTGCACCATTTTACACTCCCACCAACAGTGAATCAGGGTTCCAGTTTCTCCATAACCTCGCCAGCATTTGTTGCTTGCTGTTCTGTTAAATTTTGCTATTTTGACTGGGGTGAGATGATATCTCATAGTTGTTTTAATTTGCATCTCTCTTAGGGCTAGGGATTTTGAGTATTTCTTCATGTGCTTGTTAGCCATCTGAATGTAGTCTTCAGTGAAGTGCCTGTTCATATCCTGTGCCCATTTTTCTATTGGATTATTTACCTTTATCTTGTTGTGGTGCTCAAGTATTTCATAAATTCTGGATATAAGTCCCTTATCTGATATGTTATTACCGAATACTTTTTCCCAGTCAGTGGCTTCCCTTTTTACCCTGTTGGAGAAGTTTTTGGATGTGCATAGGGATTTGAGTCTTAGAAGATCCCATTCATCTACGTTATCTTCTCCTGGTTGTATGTTTTCCAGGATACTGGGAAAACTGTTTATGTTGGGGATTAGGACTTCTAGTGTTGTTCTTAGCTTTTCTGTAATGAAGTTTATAGTCCTTGGTTTTAGTCCTAGGTCCATGATCCACCTTGAGTTACATCAACTCATTTAAATATTCAAGTTTGATAGAAATAATAGCCATGGTTTTCATAACAAATATCTTCAGTCATTATATTTCAAACCAGAATCCATAGCCATTTTCATTAAACTGTGAAAATTTAATTTCATTAATTAACAGTTAAACTTACTGAAAAATACTCTGTTAGACTTGAGATTGGAAGTGAAAACATATAAGAACAATAGCAACAAAAAGACTCTCAAGACCTAGTTCCACTGCTTTTCCATATGTTTCCGTACGTTTGGGGACAAGTACAGTAAGCTATAATAGCTATAATTGGCCTCCCTCAACCTATTGGGCCAGTGACCGAGGACCAAGTAAATATCCATCCAACACCTTCTGGTTTATACTTCTTTTATATGAGTTGTTGTTCTTATGAGCCATTGAGTTTTGTGCAAATCTTAGCGACCCTACATACAACAGCTCAGAACCCTGCTCTATTCTAAGCCAACCCCACTGTCTCTAATACACCTAGCTCTGTTACCCCAGTCACTGAGTCAATCTAATTCATTGAAGGTCTTCCTCTCTTGTGATGTTCCTCCACCTTCCAAGAATGATGTCCCTCTCCAAGGTCTGATCCCTTCACATAACACACCCAAAGTATGTCAGACAAACCTTCAGAATCTTTGCTTCCAAGGAGCAGCCTGATTTCACCCTCTTCAGGACAAACTGTTTGTTCTCCTAGCAGTCCATGGTATATTCAATAGTCTTCTCCAGCACCACAGCTCAAAGGCATCAATTCTCCTTCTATCATCTCTAGTCATTGTTCAGCTTTCTGATGTATAGCAAGTGATTGCAAAGACCATGGCCTGCATCAGGTGCACCTTAATCTCTAGACTAATATCACTGCTCTCCAGTACTCTGGAGAGGTCCCTGACAACAGATTTTCCCAATGCAATTCATCTTTTGATTTTCTGGCTGCTGGTACCATGAGGACCATATATAGAAGAGGAATGCCCCAAAATTATTTAGTGACAACTTTATAAATCATACACAAATCCTTTGATAATGAAATCTACTTATGTTTGTTAGATCTCTATTGTATAATCCAAACTAAAGCATATCACTAACCCTTTTCTTAAAATATGCATAAAGGCAACAAATATAAAGCCTTTGGACTCTGCCTCAAGATACCCAAGTGAAATCTTTGCCATTGACCAAATGTTCAAAAGAAAGCCAACTTGGACAGTGATGGATGCAGCAGCTATTAAACCCCATGTGAGTATTTATTGTTGAATGTCTTCCCAGAAAGCATTGACAAAAACAGTTTCCATAGCAATACTACATCATCAACCAAGATAACTCTTTCCTGCTGTATCATTAAAGTAAAATAATTTTGCATTTTTGTCCATTATAATGACATCTTCTCGTTCTACCATCAAATTAGTTCAAATGTTAAGTGTTAGATTGCATTCTGCTGATTACCGATGTAGCCCAGCATCATTTCTGGGACATCCATTTGTTCCATGCTGAAAATAGCAACTGGTTAAGGTTATACAGCAGCAACCTGAGTGAGTAATGAAAGCAACTTCATTATGCCAACTACAAGAATAATAATGGCTTAAGTATGCTTCCTGAGTACGCGGTAGGATGCCAAATTCTCTGCAGATATTAATTCATTTCATCATCACAGCAGCCTTTGAAGTAGACACTGTTAACCTTCTTTGTCATTTTACAGCTAACAACAGAGAGATTAAATTGACTTGCCTAAAAATGACAATTAATAAACAGAGCCAGCATCATCAACATAAGCATCTTAACTTCAGATTACAAACTTAACCACAGCTCTATGATGCCCTTTGACTCTTGTGCCCTGATTTCTTAGCAATTTTGTATCCAACAGAGACAAACTGGGATATATTCCTTTTTTACCTCTCTTCTAAACATGACACTAGTGAACATCTTTTCTCTAATACTTTCTACTTCCTTGGACTTTGTTACTGAATCTTTGGTTCTTGTCACTCTGAGTCTTTGCCTTTATCTTCTCTTTCTTGAATACCTGTACATTACAAATTGATGGTTTCCAGTTTTCTAGACTTATGCTACCAGTATTCTCATTATATACACTCATTTATTCAGTTCTGTAAATGTTTAGCTCATAATAACAAAATTCTGGGATTAGAGAGTATCACAAAGAACATATGCAGTTCCTGTCCTCAGTGGGTGTGAACTGAGTTGAAGGCATGGAGAATGAAAACAGGCAACCTAGGTAACACACTGACATAATGGAACTACAGATGGTAAGCACCCCATGCTATAGAACAGAGGCACAGATTCCCAATCTCTTGTCTCATCATGACACATATTGAAACTAAAGCAAATTGAGATGAATTATGGTCAATGCTTTCCAGCCCTGAGGCACTGGCTGTAACCCTGGTAAGCAGAACACTAGAGATTTTGGCTTAGGTGAAGGAACCGCTAAAATGAGCATTCTTGGACTATCTTACTCTACTGTCCTTATTTCCACTGCATCCTGTATACTGATTCCTTTTAGATTTGTTGCTGACCTGAACTTCTCTGCTGTACATTTTACTTATCTCACTGACAACAGATGAACTTCATTCCTTTCCTATCCTCCTAACTACCATCTTCCAAGCCCATCCTTAACTTGAACTTTTTCTTTATTTTTCACAGTTTTTTTAAATCACCAAATGTGGCCATACCTATTCTTCTAAAGACTTCTCGGATCTGTCCCCTCATCTCTATTCCTATTAACACCACCTTTCTTGAGGTTTCATGAGGTCTTGCCTGGACAACAACCTCTAATCTGGCACCCCCATCTCTGTAGCTGCTCCCCTCCAACCACTCACAGCTGCTAAAAATTCCAACAAGATTCAACCATGTCACGGTCCTTTTTAAAAAATGAATGCCTATAAGACTGTGGTTAATTAATAAATTTATTTGCTTTGTTATATGATGCACTTTCAAGTTGGAACTGACTGATAGCTGACCCTATGGTGGGTTTTCAGAGGCAGCAAATCGCATGGTGGGAGACCTGCTCATCTTTCTTTCATGGAGAAGTTGGTGTGTTTGAACCACATGCCTTTTGCTTGGCAGGTCAACTCCTTACCACTAAATCACCAGAGCTCATTATTCAATTTTAGTTAATGTTATAAAATGAGTGGAAAAAAACAATATAATTTATGAACTTTCATTCAATTTAAAAAATAAATAAGATAAAAACATTAATGCTTCTATTTGAAAATAAGTTGTTTAAATCAATTCTTTCCCTTTGACTAGTAGCAGGGCTTAATAACTCCATTTTTGCTCCATAGGACTGAAAGGTTAGTGACTCATTTCAGCATGCTTTTTACTAAAGAAAGGATTCTCCCCAACCTCACAGAGACTACAGATTTACAAGGTTGAGTCCAAGGAATTACAGCAGGCAATGGCTTGTCCGCCTCCTCCACCATTACACCTCATTTCACAGTCCAACAATTTCAAAACACCTGTCCCCTCTATACAATCCAGGGGGTTTATTACCTGCAAGGCTTTGTTTATGCTGTCCCCTCAATCTGGACAGCATATTCCCTTTGACACCTATTCCCCCTCCAATTTTATCAAATCCTTAGCAATGTACTCACTTCAGCTTCTTCTCTCGGACAGTTCTCCCTCCTTGCTCTCAGATGTGTTGGGTGACCTCTTTGGCTCTCCTGTTATGTCCAGAGCCTTTCTCCACAGTTTCTCATTACTTTATTATATTTGTAATATTATTTAAAAAATTTGGTCTCATTATTCCCAAGTAGTACCTTTTTATTGTCCATCAGCTTGTAGTTCACAGCTCCCAAGCAGCAGATGGCAGTGGCAGTGGCTTTTCCATCTTAATTTATCATCAAGAGGTGGAATAAGGGAGCTCTGGTGGCCTAGTGGCAAGAAGGTGCACTGCAATCCCAGAGGTGCGTGGTTCAAATCTACCAGATGGTCTGCCGGAGAAGGGGGGACAATCTCCTCCTGTACCAGTCAGATCTGATTTGACAGTACACACAAACACAAAATAATAATAATAAAAAGAGGTAGAATAAGCATATACAAACTCAATGGCTTTCAAGTAACATAGGATCATAATGTTTGGGATATCTGTAATTCCAATTCACAAATAAAAGATCTTATAACTACAGGAAACTTCTTTCTCACTTCAGGTGAAGAGAGCTACGGATGTCTATAAATTGGGAGTCGCCCTTGAACATCAAAAAGAGATGCTAAACCTGTGGCGGAAGATCCGGGGGGATTTGATTGGGATAGAAACTAAAAATGAGTCCTTTTATGACACCTTTTCTACTTATACCTGGTCCTGGAATGTGTACCAAGAATTACTTTCCCCGAAGGACTTGAAGTTATTCGATGCCTGCATGAACAGATACCCCACCCACAGTGCCAGATTATCTTCCTCTTCAGATACCAGTGAATGTGATTCAGACACAGGAAGAAAAAGAAAACGGAAAGGTCCCAAAGGGTCTCGACAATGAAACGTCTACATATTTCTAAACAGCTCCTCGTGAACTTTTTCATAGTTAGCAAAATTATGGAAATACTGACATCTTTTGGATTCTGAGAGTAAAAAATTTAAGTAAAAAAATAGTTTTTCTTAATTCTTTACTACTTAGTAGATGCTAGAGCAGTGTTGCTTTATAACAATGTGTTTTGGAATTGCATGGAACAGATACTGGATTGCCATTTCCCTAATTTCCCCAGTTATATAAATGCACAGGAGGACATACTGGATTGTCATTTTCCTTGCAACCAGCTACACTCTGCTGCCCCCACCTGACTCAAGTCAGCCTAAGTCTCAGAAGGAAGGAGAAAAGATTACAATTGCTGCCCTTCTGAGCTGCTAGGGACAGTTGCAACAGCCGGGCATCTAAGGTGACTCTAAGTGGCATTAGATATTTTTTTTTTTATCGTTTGCAGGTAAGCAGTGGATGGCAATGACTTTTTGGCTACTTTTTGGTAATATCAGCCGTTCACAAGAGACTTGATTAAACAGAGGCTCGATCCCCACTCACCTGCGAAATGACCTGTTGGATAGCTCTTACAAATAGCTGATCTCAATCATGGCATTTTATTATTTCTACTTCTACTCTTGAAGTTCTTAGAGCATTTTACAGTGGTTCTCAAATATTGACCAAAAAGAGACATACATTTTGGCCTCAATAAATCTGCATCTGTTGTTGTTATGTGCCATCGAGTCGTTTCCGACTCATAGCGACCCTATGCACAACAGCTCTAAACCCTGCTCTATCCTGCGCCAACCGCACCACCTCTGACACACCCATCCCGATTACCCCAGTCACCGAATCAATCCATCTCATAGAGGGTCTTCCCCTCCTGCGCTGTCCCTCCACCCTCCCAAGCATGATGTCCCTCTCCAAGGACCCGTCCCTCCTGGCAACATGTCCAAAGTATGTCAGACGAAGCCCCAGAATCCTTGCCTCCAAGGAGCAGCTTGGTTTAATCCTCTCCAAGATGGATCTGTTTGTTTTCCTGGCAGTCCAGGTTACATTCAGTACCCTTCTCCAGCACCACAGCTCAAAAGCATCCACTCTCCTTCTGTCCTCCCTAGTCATTGTCCAACTACCAAGATTAAATCTATTTTCACTTATTGTTGTAATGTTAGGATAGCAAATATGGGGTTTTTTTCCCTGTGACAGTTTTAATCTAAAAATATGAATGAGATAAGCTATTTGTCAGTTTTCTAAGAGATAGGTTATTGTGTGTATGATTAAATCCACTACAGTGAAATGTAGAACTTTTTAAGTCATTATTCTAGAATAATGTGCTCTAAAAGAAGTAAAGACATGATTGCTGGAGACAGTGGTAAACAATGTAAAATCATAAAGCACCAGAAAAAAAAGCCAACCAAAATAGTGAAATCACCCAAAACTGTTAATTGCAATGGCCTTGAAATCATTTAGGGGTTGCATTTGAGGGTCACTCTAAATATTCAAGTTGTTGATTGCCTGCCTTCAAGTCGAACATGACTCATAGCAACCCTATGAACAAAAGGCCTGAAGCCCCTCTACAACTATCGACATTTATCAAAGTTCAAGTGTTTATAGAAGTATGTTGTTTAGGAAACGGATACCACTCCTGCAAGAATCTAAATATATATATGATGGAATATATATATAATGGATCAGCTGTGTCATAGGTGTGCCAAACACCATAATGGCTACCCATCATGGGAACTGTTTGGTGGAGCTCCCAGATTAATTCAAGCTTGGAAGTAGAAGTGGCATCCACTTCCTAAACCACATGCCTCCGGAAACTATGAACTTGAAGAAACGATGATAGTTATAGAAAGACTTCAGGCCTTTTGTTCATAGGGTCACTATGAGTCGTACTTGACTTGAAGGCAGTCAACACACAAAAAAATTAAAATAAATAAATATAAATAAATATAAATATATATATAATCTCCCTTGTATTTAAAAGTCATCATTTGGGCATGAGGGTCTAGTGTTATTTTATTTTGGAGGAACATTCTTCTAAATTGTACAGCATTCCTCTGTCAATTTGCTGAGGTAATCTGGGTTTGCTTTGATGCTGAACCTTGTGCCACTGAGGGTCAAATGTCATAATGGCTGCCCATAGTAGACAGTGTTTGGTGCAGCTCCCAGTTTAAGACAGGTTTGGAAACAGGAGTGACATCCACTTCCTAACATGCTTCTGGAAACTATGAACTTGAGGCAATGGCTATAGTTCTAGAAAGGCTTCAGGCCTTTTGTTCATAGGGTCACAATGAGTCGTGCTTGATTCAACAGCAATCAACAACAACAAATATATATATACCATTGTGTATAAAGGTATAATTTTGGAAAAAGAAAACTAACCTTATAGATACCCAAGCCTTGCTCATGAGTTGTTACAGACTCCAAGCAACCCTGAAGGGCAGAGTATTGCTTCCAAAGCTGTGATCTTATGGAAGCACATTGCCACAGCTGTCTCCCTTGAAGCCACCTGTGGATTCAAACAACCAGCCTTTCAATTTGAAGCCAAACTCTTATATACTGTACCACCATGACTCCTTACCCTTAGAAGTAAATTACTACATTTCTATCTTAAAAATAAGATTAATGGTATCCACCAGATGCTCTGCCGGGGAAGGAGGGGCAGTCTCCTCCTGTACCAGTCAGATCTGATTTGACGGTACACTCACACAAAAATAATAAAATTAAAAAATTTTAAAAAAATAAGATTAATGGTTTGAAAGCAATTTTGGGTATCACTGTTGAATGCAACAGGCAACCTAGGAGATATCATTTGGATGCTGAACTATGGAATTCCTGGAATATTTTCTTGAATCATTAGATAAATGTTGTTGTTATATGCTGTTGAGTTGGAAACAGCTCATAGCTGACCCTCCAGCTACTTTTCAGAAGCCATAAATAGCTCAGGAGGAGATTACCCATCTGTCTCCGCCAGAGCAGGTGGTAGATTGAAACCATATGCCTTTGGTTGGTAGTGCAACTCCTTACCACTAAACCACCAGAGCTCCCTCAATGGGTAACAGCATATAGTATTTTTAGGTAAAGTTGTCCAAAAAGATCTAAAATGTACAGTAATGCGTTCTCTCTATAAAATTGCCACATAACTGTTGATGACAGTATAAACTGACACCCTTATACCTGTGTATATGTTAGCAACAGTATTTAACCTTTCATTCATCCAATACTTAGTAATATTGTACAGGCTATAGTTTAATTCTAGAAATACAACAATGACCAAAGAGATACAATGTCACAAAGCTTTATAACTTCTAATAACAACTACTGATTTAGGAGTTCATTCAAAAAGTTAAAGAAATAGCTTTGCCGGGGAAGGAGGGACAATCTCCTCCTGTACCAGTCAGATCTGATTTGATGGTACACTCACACAAAAATAATAAAGTAAAAATTTAAAAAAAAGTTAAAGAAATAATCATGAATGTACAAAATTATATTCCCACAAAGATGATTGTTGTATTAAATTATTTTTAATAGTAAGAAACTTAAAATGATCCAAATGTCTAGTTGATCATGATAAAACTATATAAAACAATTCTAAGAAATTATGAAAATTGACAGAAAAGTAAAAATGTTCACAATTATAAAAAGAGCAAGGACAATATAGGGATGCCCATATCTGAAGGCTACTAACTCAACAAAGTGGAACTGTCCCCATCAATGCATCCACAACCAAAGCAAATTTCCTTGGGGTAAGACATGTCCACCACACTCCGCCCCTCTTTCTACAAATTCCAACAACTATTTTACTACTCTACTGGGTCCAAAATCCACTGTAACAGCTCACATTCCACACAGAACCATACTCACAATTATGAGGGTAATTAGAGAAATCAAAAGGCTTTTCAACTCAGGTTGACAGTAGGATACAATTGCACAGTTAGTGCAATTCTTTAATTTGCTTTTTCTGCACAGCTTCTGAAATGTACAAAGACGATAGCCTGGATCAGGCGCACTTTGGTCTTTAAACTGACATCATTGCTCTTCAGCACTCTGGAGAAGTCCCAGACAACAGATTTTCTAAATGCAATTCGTCTTTTGATTTACTGGCAACTAGTGTCAAGAGTGTTGACTGTGGAACTGAGCTAGCTTATATTGTTAAGAATCTCAATCTCTTCCCTATCTGGCTGCCAGCTGGCCCAGTGGTGAGAATCTTTGTTTTCTTGATATTTTCAGTCCATATTGGAAACTGCAGTCCTTAACCTTCTGCAATGAACACTTCAGGTCCTCCTCAGCTTTTGGCAAGCAAGGTCATCTGCATAATGCAGGTTGTTGATGAGTCTTCCTGCACCCCGGATGCCACTTTCCTTCTCATAAGGTCCAGCCTCCTGAATAATCTAGTCCACATATATATTGAAAAGATATGGAGACAAGATGAATCAATCTTATTTTGTTCTATCGGGTCTTCGTGGATTAAAATAAAGTCAAGAGCACTGGGTTTCGGGTGAGTCCTCAATTAACATCCAAGGCAAGAATTTAGAATGAGAGCTCTTGAACTTTGCATCTTTCAGTCTATGCCTCGTGAGCTACAGGTGTTCTCACTAATCACCAGCAGGGGGCCTCTTGTTAGGGGCTGCCGAGTGGGTTCCAACTCAGCAATCCTACGTACATCAAAATGAACACTGCCTAGTCCTGCAATGTTCTCTGGATCTTAACTACGATTGAATTAATTGTTGCAGCCACTGAGTCAATCCATCTGGTTTAAGGTCTTCCTCTATTTCATTGTTTTTACCAAGCAGACTGTCTTTCTCCCGTCCTCTTTGTCCCCGCCTCTTCCACCCGCATCTCCCCCACCTTCACTTCCTGCAATAACTTTTTGTGTCTCTCTTCCTCTAAAATACAGTACTCTCAGAAGCTGCCACGCCAACCAAATCAAAGATACGGTTGTCAGTTTGAGTCTGACTTGCTGCTACGTCATGTGAAACAGTAGTATAGTGATGGTTTTAAAGGCTACTTTTTCTGAAGTAGATCTTTAGGCCATTGATCCAATGTTGCTGTTAGGTGTCATGGAGTCAACTCTTAGCGACCCTGTGAAGAGCAGATCTGAATCTTGCCCTATCTATCCTGCGTCACCCTCACCATCTCCAGCACACTCAAGCCCATCTGGCAGTCATTAAGTCAAACCATCTTGTTGCATCTTCCTCTCTTTCTCTGACCCTCCACCTGATCTAATAACTGAGAGGAAATTAATCATCTGAACCACACAGGGACTTTTCCTGAAGGTACATCTTAGTGTAAAATCATGTTTTCACTGACACCTCACAACATCTTCCCAAAAAATTATTCAGGGTACTTCAAAGAGAGATAAAAATGAGTTATACAGGCCAACTACAGATAACTGTAGAAAATGAAGCTCAGGACACTTTATCACATTTCACAAAAATGTGTCCAAGTTATTCACCATTGTAAATGATAACTATTGGAACTAATACAATAGCATTTCAGGTAAAGATAGACAGTGGGGTATTCACAAGAAAATACATGGATTAGGAGCAGTGGTGCTTCTCTGACAAATATCACAATTAGTTGGCTGTAGCAAACAAATTTATTTTCTTACAGTTTAGGAGGGTAGCTGTCCCAATTTAGGCATCACTGTAGCTGCACCTTATCTAAGACATATTTGTTCTTTTGACAGTGCATGGAATTTTGAGTACTCTTCTCCAATGCCATAGCTCAAAGGCATTAATTCTTCTGACATCCTTATTCAGATGCATAGCAAGGAACTGAAAAAACCATGGTCTGGATCAAGCATACTTCAGTCTTCAAACTGACATCATTGCTCCTCAATAATTTGAAGAAGTCCCTGATTGCAGACTTTCCAATTACAGTATGTCTCCTGACACCCTGACTGATGGTACTAAGGATTGTGGATCCAAGTTAAGATGAAGTCGTTGACAGTTTATCTATCATACTGTTGCCTACTGGCCCAGTAGTGATAATTTTTCTTGATGTTAAGATGCAATCCATATTGAAGGCTGCGGTCTTTGATCTTCTGCAGTAAGTGCTTCAAGTCCTCTTCACTTTCAGCAAGCAAGGTTGTGCTATCTGCGTAATGGAGATTATTGATGAGTCTTCTTCCACTCCTGATGCCACAATCTTAATAGAGTTCAACTTCTTGAATAATTTTCTTAGTCTAGATTAAATAGGTACAGAGAAATAATACAACCTGGATGCACACCTTTCTTAATTTTAAACCATATAGTATTCCTTTGTTCTTTTCAAACAATAGCCTCTTGATCTAGGTATAGGTTCCACATGAGCACAATTAAATGTTCTGGGATTCCCATTCTTCTCAGTGTTAGCAATAACTTGTTACAATCCACACAAATGCCTTTAAATAGTCAATAAAGCACAAATAGACATTTTCTTTCAGCCAGTATCCAATGCTTTACCAAGTAGCAAGGATCAATTTTCTCTTGGAAGTCTTCTCTCTCAATTTATCTTACAGTAAGTTAAAAACATATATTCTTTAAAGAATCATTGCACTAATTAGAGAAAAAGAATTGTAGAGCTGAAAGTTTATGTAACAAACTACACAAAAAGCAATGAATTGCTGCCAAATTATAATCAATCCCATAGCGGATCCTCCAGCGGGTTTCCAGAGGCTGTAAATGGCAAGGAAGCAACTGGTGGATTAAAACTGCTTGCCTTTAGGTTGGCAGTACAACTCCTTTCCCACAAAACTACCAAAGCTCCCTGACCACATAGTTTCTTGTAGATAGATTGAGATTACTAAAACTGACGGCGACCCTATGAAGAACAATCTGATCCTTAACCTATCCTGCACCATCCTCATCATCCCTGCCATGCCCATTGCGGGGTCAATTTGTCAATTCATTTGTTGACAGGCTTCCTCTCTCTCTGATCCTCCAATGGTATCTCTCTCCAAGGACTAGCACATTTCGTTATTGTTATTGTATGTCATCGAGTCAGAACTGACCCATGGTTGACCCTCCAGTGAGTTTTCAGACAGTAAATCATCGCATGGGAAGATTTTGTTCATCCTCCCGCGGAGCAGAGCTGGTGGATTCCAACTGCGTGGCTTTGGGATTGCAGCGCAGCATCTTAACAACAGAGCTCCCTACAGGAGAAACAGGTACCAAACTCCCCTTAATTGTCACACGGAATGATTTAAGATTTTTCCTGACTTAAATTTAAGGATCCAAGCACTGAACCGAGGCTCAATGATGCCTAATTTCTACAAATACACTGGGGAGAAATAACACAGAATAACCTGACCAGAGAGCCCAACTTTCGGCTGGCTCCACCCATCCGAGCCAGACTTCAGCATCTTCCCAGCCGCTCGCTACCTCTTTTCCCGCCTGGACCCGGAGGACCGCCCCAACTCTTCTCCCGGGCCCCTCTCCCTCCGCCTCCCTCCCCTTTCTTCTCCCTCGTCTCCCTTCCCACCTTCCTCCCCTCCCACCTCTTCCCCCTTCCGCTCCCAGGTTCCCGCGCCTTCCGGAATGGGGCGTGGTCTCGAGGAAATCCTCGCATGATGAAAAGGATATCGTTTCCGGTTCCGGTGTCATGGCTGACTCCGGTTCTGAAAGTGTGGAAGTGGTTCCCAATAGAAAGAGGGGACAGTTTGGGAGCCGGTTCTTGGATGACCCAGCGCGCGTCTTCCACCACAACGCCTGGTAACTCGCTACCCCTCAGCCCGGCCTGGCGCTCGCCCTCGGTCCCCACGCCCCTGAGTGCTCCCTGAAGGGCCTGACGGCTCCTCCTCCCGGCTCAACTTCGGACGCGGCGCTGCCGCGGGCGCTTCTCGGCGGGACTGACTCACACCTAGCCGAGCGTGCTCTAAGCTACCTTTGTTATTTCATTTTCCAGGGACAATGTGCAGTGGTCGGAAGAGCAGGCTGCGGCGGCGGCTAAGAAAGTCCGCGAGAACAGTGTCCAGCGAGTGCCCCAGGAGAAGCAAGGTGTGCTCGAATGGCCTCCGTGGCATAGACAGGCAGCTGGACGGCCCTCCCGGCGAGGCCTGAGAACTAGTGCAGCCAAGAGCTTTTGTTTTTAGCCTGACCCGAGCTGTACTTTACTAGAGGTCTTGTTAGGGAGTAGAGAGTGGTGGCGTTTATTGGGAGAGCATAGCGATTTGTCTTGATTTTATTTTCTAGTGATTGATTTATTTTTTGTTATGCCCACTGTTTGATGCCATCAAGTGGATTTGTATTTAAAGCGGCCCCATTTGACAGCATAGAACTGCCCCATAGGATTTAAACTGCCAGCCATTCCAATCAAGCTATTCGATTATTGCTGGTATTAACTAGAACAAATTAACGTGGCTAGCCCATGTCACCCTGGATCACTTGTTTGTCTAAGAGTAAGTATTTTCTGCATGGTCACACTGTCCAAGATTGTAGCCTTCCAAACTAGACTCAAATGATCAGATTCTGAGTATTGGAGGAGAGGTTAATTATATGACTTCTCCTGTGTAACGGATATGAGGATTTTGAGCTGCTTCTAAGGAAAGATGAACAACGGAGCAGGGTTGAAATAAGTCTGGCCAGAACTGGCGTGGTGGTGGTGGGGGGGCATCCTAGAGAAGTAGATGCTTTTACTGCAAAATATCACTGGAACTAGGACTGATTGGTTCTGTATTTTAAGAGGTGGTTGAGAGCTGGGCTAGAGATGGGAGACTAGTACCTCTGAAAGAGTTCTGCACAACATTTAGACAATTCTAATTACTAAGTTTTTCTCAAAGTTTAACAGACGAGATCAAAGCAAGTTAGTGTTTAAAGGGATTCTGAAAATCATGTAGTCCAATATCCTCTTTTTACAGTTAAAGAAATTTGGATCACAGGACATTAATTGCCTTGCCCAGAGGTAAGCAGTAGATAGTAGTAGCAATGGTGGAACCAAAATTCAATTTCCTAGGGGTTTTTGTTGTTGTTTTTGCTACATAATACTCTGTGTTGGCAAACCAATATCTGGGGCTACCTTATCACCATAAACAACTTTCTTTTAAATAATGCATCAGTTCATACTTTAACGTCTCCTGTCCTCTGATTCATTCTGATGCATCAGAATTTTTCTTACCTAAATAGTTTTTCTCTTTTCAGCATTTCTGATTTTCTTTCCACCTTTTTCCACTTTAGCATCTACTTGGCATGCCACACTTTAAAGAAGCACCGGGAGAGGGACGTGTTTAAAGGAGAACTACCCCAAGTGATAGCTATTTAGTTAACAGGAGAAACTAAAGAACCTGAGGCATTTAGTTTGTAAAAGATTTAAATGAGAAACAGCTGCCGTCAAATACAAAAGAGTTGTTCTCTATACCTTGTGAAATAGTGGGAATTTCTGACCGGAAGTGATAAGACAAGTTTTTTCCCCCAATTGAGAGCCATCCAGAGATTTAGGAGAAACATTAATAGGTGGTAAATTCTCCACTGAATGGTTCAAGCAGAAGCTGAGTGTCTGGGAAGGACAGCATAGGGGGAACTTAAATACGGTGGTAAGTAGTGGGACTAGACCATCTCTAGCCCTGAGAGTCTATGGCAGTGCTTTCAGTATCAAACACTTGATGAATTGCAGCTGTGTCAAATTCAGTGCCTGCCCCTTCAATGGCAAGCACTGGCCAGAAAGGCTGCCATAGTGACACTGTAACTCAGGGGCCCTATTCCTCTCACTTAGGCCTCAGGCATAAGTTTTGTTACAGACATTTTAAAACAAACAAACAAAAAAACACTTGATGAAACAATAATTGATCTGTCTCTTAAAATGCTTTTTGCAGTTGATTATGAAGCCAATGCGCACAAATACTGGAATGACTTTTACAAAATTCACGAAAATGGGTTCTTCAAAGACAGGCACTGGCTCTTTACAGAGTTCCCAGAGCTCGCACCTTGCCAAAATGAAAATGACTTGGAAAAGTTGTCAGAGGATAAAGGTCAAATACGAGAGTGTGAAAACAGTGAGGAAGCACCTGAGTTAACAATAGAAGAACAGCACAAGGATTCGTCAAACAAAGAAAAAACAAGGGCACGTTCTGTGGAAGAGACTGTGACTCAGAAACTTAGTCACCTGGACATCTGTGCTGATGAGTTTCCTGGATCCTCAGCCACCTACCGAATACTTGAGGTAACCTTGACCTCTCTCTGTTCTCTGGCATATGGGAGAGAGGGTGGAGGATGTCTAGAAAATGCCGTCATGCTGGAAAAAGGTAGAGGGTAAGAAAAAGAGAGGAAGATAGATGGATTGACTCAGTGACTAACACCACGCCTGAGCATATTGGAGATTATGAGGATTGCACAGGATAGGCAAGGTCAGATCTGTTATTCATAGGATTGCTGTGAGTCACAGTTGACTTGATGGCCGCTAACAACAGTCTATTGGAAATATTTTCCTGCTAATGATAATGAAACTTAGTAAGAAAATATTTACTACTACTTAATGTGTGCCATCAAGTCACATCATCCACTCAAAACGTAAACACAGCCCATGCCCTTCGTATCTAGACTAGCTCTTCTAATAAAAGCCCATGCTCTTTGTTTTGTGTGGCTGTTTCTTTGATTCTTGTGGAATTCAGATAATTATCTACCTAAGTTGATTTATGCTTTGACATAGTTAATATCTGTCTACAGGTTGGATGTGGTGTTGGAAACACAGTCTTCCCAATTTTACAGACTAACAAGTAAGTATGTTGCAAGATTTAACTGTATGCCAGTGAAGAAAAGTTTTTCTCAGAACTCTTACTGCGTCAAGCTCTTAACAGCAGTTATTGGGTTTACAGGAAATTCTAATTTCTACATTGTGTGTTTGAGTTTTTTAACATCTAACATATTAGTTACTTTGTCCCTGGGAAAATTACTAAAATTGAACCCTATCACGATGTTTATGTCTGAAGTCACCTATGTGTTAGTGCTTGAAAAATGTTTCATTTCTCCACATGTATGATCTCTTTAAGTGACAGAAAGGGGCCAGGCTATCATTACTTCTATTTAGAAGAAGCTAATAAGCATGAAGGGTGTCTCTTTATTTTCATGCCATTCATGGAAGTGGCCTTCTAGTTCCAGGTTCTTCAGTGAAAACCCAGTGTTTTTTCAAAAGTTCTCTGTAGATATTTACATCTATTTAGTCCATAATACTGGATTTAGTAGGCTTTAGCCTAATCTCTTGGGGAGTCTAGTGATAGATTCCTTAATGAGTTGTGGTGCTAACATAAAAGTTGTGTAGATGGTTCACATCCACCAGTGAGTGGCTCCTTTGAGAAAGTTGAGCAACCTGGTGGTGGGTTGGCAGGTTCATTTTGAGTTAGAACTGACTTGATGGCAATGAGTTTTTAGCCTCATGAGGAGCACCAATGTCAGTCGAGAGCCTGATCCAAGCCATGGTCTTCACAGTTGCAATGCATCAGAGAGCGAGACAAGGAATAAGGATGACAGAAGGAAAAACTGATGCCTTTGAGTTGAAAAGAACATTGAAAATATCATGGACTGCCAAGAGAATAAACAGATTTGTCCTGGAGAGGGTGAAATCAAGGCTGCTCCTTGGAGGCAAGGATTTTGAAATGCCATCTCACATACTTTGGGCATGTGGCCAGGAGGGACCAGTCTTTGGAGAAGAGTATCATGCTTGGAAAGATTGAGGGACAGCACAGGAGAGGAGAACCCCAGGTGAGATGGATTAACACAGTAACTGGAATAATGGGAGTAGGTGTGTCAGAGACAGTGAGATTGGCTGAGGATAGAGCAGAGTTCAGAGCTATTGTTCATAGGATTGCTAGCAACTCATTGGCACATAAGATACTGTTGGAAAATTGGCAAGGCACAGTGGCTTAGAGGAAAGAAGAGAGAGTGTACTCAGTGTCACACTTTGGAATTCACCATACTGAAAATTTCCCTTGGAGCTTTTGCCATTAATCACCATCTCATCAGTAAATAATGTAAAATGGAGATCACTCAATAAATTCTTTATCACAAACCTTGTGCCCTTTCAGTGAAGTCATTGCATAAGGTCTAAAAACCCACTTGTTCAAAAAATTCACTTGCTAAGCCTTTTTACCACCTAAGAACCAGATTTAAAATGTTCAGCATGATTTTTGAAACCTTTGTACAAGCTTATTATATGCCTTATTATTTTACTTTCCATAAAACACCTATCGGTTTATCAGTTGAATCTAAAGATGGCTAATTTCTTAGCGCTTAAATTCTGCTTGTCTTCTTCACATGGGACAGTTCATTTCTGTGGGCCTACCGCATTGTTTCCCCAACTTAGGCATCCTCCCTCATATTCTAGGCCACAAACATCCAGAAAGTTTCCCTGATAAATACACTCCACCTGTGTCACTCTGAAGTCTATCAGAAAATTCGGAACTTACTTTTTTGTACTATATTAAAGTCCTTGGACTCTTCTCAAGCTAATGTATTTTGTTTCTATAACGTTATGGCATATATATTATGCATATAAGCCTATCTGTGTAGTTTATGCTTGTATGTGTTATAACCAGATGTAAACCATATGTATGTATAAAAAATACATAATGAGCACAGTTGGAAGGGTGCGATGATTCATTGTTCAGTATATGCAAGTTGTGCGGACATCACCTCAGTCAATTTTACAGTATTTTATTGCCCTGAAAGAAATGACTTGTTCTTCCTATCTGCTCCCCTGTCCCCATTCTAGGCACCCGTTAATGTACCTTCTGTCAATAGTTTTTTCTTAGATCAATTTTCTGTCAGATGTCTGTTAAAGATCCCTGATTTTTTTTATCATTTGAACAAATCATTTTACAAATCTTACATGTAATGAGCCCCTTTTTGCATCTTTCCTTTTATCCACCTTATCTATAAATTTTTATTCTACTCTCCCCCCTTGCACATCCTTGTCAACCCTCCAAGATTGATTCCATCTGCATGTAAAACGTTCCTTAGCTTTGTCTAATAGTGATCTTATTCGTGACTGAATTAGCATAATTCGTTCTATTTATATCCATGTTGTGCAGTATTTTACCACTTCGTGATTTGAGTTTTAGTGATGCATAATTTCGCTTGTGTATATGTATCATAGTTTCTTTAGCCATTAATCTATTGATAGATGCTTGAGCTGTTTCCAGCTCTTTGCCACCATAAATAAGGCTGCAGTTAAGTATGAGTGTTAATTCGTGCCACAGTTCTTCTTTCATTAGGCTATATACCTGTAGTACAGTGGCTAGATCAAGTGGTTTTTCTAGTCTCAGTTTCATAAGCCGTAGACTGCTTTCCACAATAGCTGCACCATTTTACATCCCTATCAACATGTTAGAGTTGTAGTATCACCACAACCTCACCAACATTTTTTGTTTGCGGCATTGGTGAACTTAGCTATTGTTGTCAAGGTGAGATTGTTTTGTATTTGCATCTCATTGCTTTTTTTTTTGTTTTATGTTGGTGGGTGGGGTTTTTTTAATCTCTCTAAATAGCTAATGATCTTGAGAATTTCTTCCTAGTGTTTAATTGATCTGGATGTTCAAGTGCCTGTTCTATGCTGTGCCCATTTTGTAATTGGATTGTCTTTTTCTTACTGAGATTTTTTAAGGTACTGTTGAGTCCTACAAATCACAGCAACCCTGTAAACAACAGATCTGAACTATGTCCTGTCTTGTGCCATCCTCATCATCCCTCACACACTTAAGCCCTTTGTACAGTCACTGTCAATCCATCTTGCCTCTCTTTCACTGACTCTTCACCTTTCAAAGCATGATATGTTAGAGTTTTCTGTAAATTTTAGAAATCAGTCCCATGTCAAATGTTACTGTTACGTGCCGTCAAGTCACTTGCGACTCATAGCGAACCTAGGTACAAAATCCCTAAACCCTGCACTATCCTGTGCCAACCTCATTGTCTCTGACACACCTACTCCCACTGCCCTAATCACTAAATCAGTCCATCTCATCGAGGGTCTTCTGCTCCTGCACTGTTCCTCTACTGTCCCAAACATGATGTCCCTCTCCAAAGACTGGTCCCTCCTTGCAACATGCCCAGAGTATGTCAGACAAAGCTTCAGAATCCATGACTCCAAGGAGCATTCTGGCTTCAACCTCTCCAGGATGAACTTGTTTGTTCTCCTAGCAGTCCATAATAAAATCAACACACTTATCCAGCACCACAGTTCAAAGGCATCAGTTCTCTTTCTATCATCCCTAGTCACGGTCCAGCTCTCTGATGCATAATAAGCAATTGCAAAGACTATAGCCTGGATCAGGTGCACCTTAGTCTCCAGCCTGGTGTCATTGCTCTTCAGTATTCTGGAGAGGTCCCTGACAGCTGACTTTCCCAGTGCAATTTGTCTCTTGATTTCCTGGCTGCTGGTACCAAGAGTGTTGACTGTGGAACCAAGTAAACTAAAACTGTTAACTTTCTCAATCTCTTTACCATCTGTTGGCTGCCAGTTGGCCCAGTAGTGAGAATCTTTGTTTTCTTGATGTTGAGCTTCAATCTATATTAAAGGCTGAAGCCCTTGTAATGTTGGTAAATATTTTTCCCAGTGTGTAGGTTCTCTTGGAGAACCAAATATTCAATTATTTTTGATACGCTTATACCATTGATGAGGGCTCTTAAGTTTGCCCCATTTTTTTCTTTGATGATCTTTACACTCTGAGTTTTATACCTCAGGCCTCATGACTTACCTAATTTGTTTCAGGTATGTGTGTTTAATAATTTCAAAAGTAACACAGGTCTAGAATTTTAAAAATCACAGAAACAAAGCATAAAACACAAATTACCAGTCATCTCATCCTCCAAAGATAACCACTATTGATGTATGCATTACATATCTTTCTAGTGTTTGTTTCTGTGAATGTAGTGTTACTAGCCTTTTTTTCTATTTTCTGATTGTAATTTTTTGGCAGGGAGAAGCTGGATCTGCTAGAATTTGGTGCATGATCTTAAGAGAGTCCTCAGGTGCCCGACTTAGGAAAACAGAACAAACTTGTCTTCTCTCTAAAGCCCCAAAAGAATTTTCCACGGTGGGGGAAATGCCCTGTATTGGCTGTCCCTTAACAGTGATTACTGGCCATTCATGGCTCTTAAGTACTTGAAATGGTGTGTGGTAGGACTGAGGGGATGACTCTCGGGTTGCATTTTAATTCAGGTAACTCCATGTGAGGAATTGGAAGACACAGAAGAATTTCATGAAACAACATATGAGCAAGAGCCTATGGTGATGAAAGAAGAAGTCCAGGCTGCTTTGAAGGAAATGGCAAAAAATAAGGCTCCAGGAATAGATGGTATACCAATTGACATATTTCAGTTAACAAATGCTGCCCTGGATGTGCTCACCAAGTTGTGCCAAGAAATCTGGAGAACAACCACTTGGCCAACTGACTGGAAGAGATCTATATTTGTTCATATCCCAAAGAAAGGTGACTCAATAGAATGTGGAAACTACAGAACAATCTCACTGATTCCACATGCAAGCAAGATTTTACTGAAGATTATCCAAAAACGACTGTAACAGCACACCAACAAAGAACTACCAGAAGTCCAGGCTGGATTTAGAAGGGGTCGTGGTACTAGAGATATTGTAGCTGACATTAGATGGATCTTAGCTGAAAGCAAGGAATACCAGAGGAATGTCTGTCTGTGTTTCATTGACTATACAAAGGCATTTGACTGTGTGGATCATAACAAACTATGGCTGACTCTGAGAAGAATGGGAATCCCCAGAACACTTGATCATGCTAATGCGAAACCTATACCTGGACCAGGAGGCAGTCGTCAGAACAGAGCAAGGGAACACTGCATGGTTCAAAATTGGGAAGGGCGTACGCCAGGGATGCATCCTATCT